AAAAGCTGGATAAGTTTTCTACTAATACATAGCTCATCGATGATTTAGAGCTTCTTAAGTTACTATGAGCAGTGTTGCTGTTCGTACAAGGATCGTCATATTTGTTGAGGTTTTAACGTATTGTACGAGGATCGACTAACCTGGTACATCATTTTTGCATACATATGTAAAGTTATATTTTTATGCATAAAGTTTAGAATTGTTTCACAATTATTTTTACTCTGTTATTGTTTATATTAACATGAATCGTATAACTTTTGTTGCTTTATAGACAAATAAATTGCAATTATATCTACCTTAATTGGAGTATGATTATTATTTCCTTCTTAAAACTGTGATTGTACCAGCATACTGTTTTTTTCTAGATAAATAAAAATATTGAAAAAATTGTTACCATCATTTTAAAAAATGTTTTTGATTTTTATCAAATATAATATAAAATATAAGAAAATATTAAGTATGATTATTATTTCCTTCATAATAGGCTTGACAACGGGTTCCAAAATACCGTCCTGATAGTTTTTAGCGGCTGTTTATATTATGACTTTATCATGAATTTAACATCTCTCCCAGCAAACCTCTTTGATGATCTCTATAGACCTTCATATTATGACTGCTCTAGTCTGAAATCAGAGTTTAAAATTTTTTCATATTTTTGGAAATAAAACTTTCAATTTTCTTCATATTTTTTTATTTATGCATGTTGTCTCTTACGTTTCGGGACAATTTTCGCATCGGTACATATATTCACTGATACACTAATCAACATCTGTTCAGTGAATCATTCAGTGATCAGTGAATATGTGTAATACCAAATAATTTTTAAAAAATGTGACAAATATTCAATTTTTGACAAATGGTGCCACATCAAAAAAAATGAATGTAAAAATAAAAATATTACTCTGATGATGGGAAAATTGTCTCGAAACGTAAGAGACAACAATCATAAGTAAAAAAATATAAAGAAAATTGGAAGTTTTATTGCCAAAAATATGAAAAAATTATAAACGTAAGCTTTCTAATAAAAAAAGAAAAATAAGAAGAGTTTAAAATTGTGTATCTTAAAGAAAAAAATTATCCAACATAATGGGGGGAATAGGATCACTTCCAACCTCCGGGCCTATAAATAATATAAATTCAACCTGATTTCTTGTATGAAAGTAACAATGAAATTTTACGCAGCATTCGCTACTCTTTTCTAATTAAATTATTTTGAAAATGACAGCCTGGCCTATCTTATATTATTTCAGCTCTGCACGACTCCTATCTAACATCCAATGCAAAACAAAAGAACTTATTACCGTCTCAACCATTCGGTCATTCACGTCAAACAATGCTTTGGTACAATTGAATACGCGCTGATTAATTTAAACAATAGGTCCTCTAAAAAAAAATGTGGTATAGTTTGCATTTTTATTTTTTTATTTTTTTATCACTATTGAATTCAGCACTACTTGCGTATAAGAACTGGATCTGAAAAGAAACGTTGGATTTAAAGAAGTGAAGCTCGTGAAGGAAATTGGCTGCTTATGAATGAACCTAAAAGTGTACTCTCAGTTAAAATCTAGATTCCTCAACTTCTGGTGAAACCTTAAGCTTTTTTTCCGAATACCCCTTACATCGCCATTTCTTGCACACGCGGGGGTTGTTCTAGAGGTGTAACTAAACCTATTCTTAGGGAAAGTTGAGATTAATTGCGTGGGTCCGACATGAAATAAATTTTAACCTGCCCACGACGGATTCGAACCGGCGTCGATAGACTCAGGAACGTTAAATATTACGCTTCGACGTTATCCTTCTGATAATCCTGGAGTCAGGGCCAAAAAATCGACCTCATCACAGGCAAAGGTTTGATTGTAAATTACGAAATTTTATGTTATTCTGAGTAAAAATAACCTCGAAAATGGCGGCTGATTTAAAGAATATTAGGCCAGTAATTTGAGGATCGAAACGGGAAATCCAATACGAATAATGTGAACAAAGTTTTTATTTTTTTAACTTCTATATATGGGTTTAGAATCTATAAAACAATTATCTTGCCTACAGTTCTTTATGGATGCGAAACTTGGCCGCTTACATTAAGGGATGAGCAGCGTCTTAGGGTTTTTGAAAATAAAGTATTGCGTAGAATATTCGGACCGAAGAAGGATGAGTTAACCGGAGAGTTCAGACGGTTACACAACGCCGAATTGCGTGAGATGTATCCGGGTAATATAATTGAGGTAATTTCATCGCGGCGAATCAAATGGGCTTGTAAAGTTGTTGGGCTTAGTACCGAGAGAATTCCTAAAAGGTTAATATTTGCTGTGCCGAATGGTAAGCGTCCGAGGGGTAGACCGAAGCGAAGGTGGGAAGATTGCATTAAAGCCGATCTGAAGGGACTGGGTTTGGACGGCGAACGGTGGAGGGAGGTGTGTAACAAGCGATTGGTGGTGTCGGCATCGAACCTTCGGGTTCGCTAAGCCTTATTATTATTATTATCTATATATGGGTTTAGACATGTAAAAAACAAAATTGCTAATGCAGGCCACCAAGGGAAAACTTTTTACATCCAAAAAAGTCAAATTTTTTCGATATTATTTTGTTTTTTCACCTATGACTCCTAAACAATACATCAAAGCGAAAAATGTACTCTAAATACATTAAAGAACGTTCAATTGTGCTTCAAACGAGTACATAAACTTTATAATTTGGTTACGTAGTAAGGTATAAAATCACGGTCAACCAACGTTGATTTTGATTAAATTTGTCAAAATCTGAGACAAATTAATAGTAATTTGATATAATGGCCCAGTAACATGGAAATGCGTTCTCTAAGAGGACGCAAAATTTGATGCTCTACAACTTTGATTCTATTGGCTTTTCCTCTTAGAGAATGCATTTCCATCAAATTATATAGGGTCATTATATCAAATTACTATTAATTTGTCTCAGTTTTTGAGAAATTTGGTAAAAACCAGCGTTGGTTGACAATGGTTTTATCCCTTACCGCGTAACCAAATTTTAAAGTGTATGTACTCGTTTGACGCACAATTTAACGTTTTTTAATTTATTAACGAGTAAATTTTACGCTTTGATGTATCATTTAGGAGTTATAGGAGAAAAACAAAAAAAATATCGAAAAAATCTGACTTTTTTTCCTGTAAAAAGTTTTTCTTCGGTGGCCCGCATTAGCAATTTTGTTTGTTAAATGTCTGAACTATATTATACAAGTTAAAACATGAAAACATTTCTCACATTTTTCGCAATGGATTTCCCGTTTCGATCCTCAAATTATTGGCCTAATATTCTTTAAATAAGCCGCCATTTTTTAAATCAGCGGCACTGGAATGGCAGACAAGGTTATTTTTACTCAGAATAACATACACTTTCGTAATTTACAATTCGCCTGGGATGAGGTCGATTTTTGGGCCCTGGCTCCAGGGCTATGAGCTTTAATACCTTTGTAAAGACACAGTCATAGACTCTAGCGACGCCTCTTAAGAGATAGCTGAACCAACCCGATTATTTCTTCATAATTGAATAATTGGTACATGTAAATAAATAATGATCAAAGTAAATATACCAGTAATAGAAACTATACTAGCAATAGACAGTTTTCATCTCATTAATAGATAATAAGCTTTATACACCCATAAGGATGTGCAAATAAGATTATATTTGTAGTTAAACCACTTTGGAAAGTGATTCCTGAGCTTCAAGTGATGTCATACCTCAATAGCCCATTGCCAATTGATTTCTTAACGAAGTAAGGCTGTATCTTTGTTTCCACGTGGTTTCCTTATCACTTTTCTTTAGAACATAAATTTGAAATTTTGATTCATTAATGTTTAGGTTACCATTTCTTGGTTTAAAACTATGCAGAATTTATTTTGGATTTTTACATAAAAAAACCTATTAACCCCAAAACCTGGGTTTCTATTACTGGTGCAATAAACGCTGTCAGATTTTCCCAAGTTTTTCATAAATTATAAGCTAATTAAGTGTATAGAAAATAAATTGATAAAATACTAAATTTCCTATCAATTAACCCATTTCCAAAGATCCATTGTCAGAGGTAATACTGTGGTTCACATTAATGTTGAATATTCCTCTTAAAGTGTCTATTACCGATATATTTACCTTAAATTTTACAAATAAAAAAAAAATGTCATTTAATGGAAGTTGAACATTATATGTATAAACTTTGTTTGCATATAATTAACTCTATTTATTGCTTTAATTATTCATTTATTTATATTTTTAATGATTAATTAAATACAGTGACGTACCCAGGTGAGTGGACATGAGGAATAGTCCCCACCCTCCTTCATTTATTAAATGGTCCCACAACAGCTGCCTTTTTTTTGTCTGAAAATTGAATGATAATATTATTGCAAAAGAATAATATACATAATAATTTTTCATTATAACTGATGAGAACCCATTGTTTTAAAAAAATAATTTAGTTTGTACATTTATAGTACTTAAAAAATATATCTACCCTATGCCCCACTTAAAATGGGGACCCTACAACGAGGGCCCTTTTTTTCTGTTTTTAGGGGGCTTCAAAAATATATCCCTCTTGGCCCCCAAATGGTCTAGGTATGCCACTGAATAAAGATTTATTACAATAAGGTATTTTGTATAATTATGATGTCATTTAGCTTTTAATTGTTTGCTAATTTATTTATTCAATCTGATTTTAGTGACCTCAGTCGTAATCAACTTCAATTTATAGGAAAAAAATCCCTGCGAGGTATAACAGCTATTAAAACATTGTAAGTGATCAAATTTAGCTTTACAACAAATAAATTAATTTTTTAGGAACTGTCACTCTGAGCTATAAATTACTTATAATTCTTATAGTTCACATTAATTATCAATAAATGCTTTTTACAATAACTGCTTCTTAAATCATTGTTTAAGATAGAATAAATAAGCTCAATATAAATATATTGAAACTATTTTAGTTTAAATATATCTATGATTCATTTTTTCATATTTTTAATTTTTTATAATTCCTTTTTTCATTTATGCAATAAAATATGTATTACATTTTTTCATATTTTATTTATATTCATTATATTTTCTTTTTTGTTTCCTATAGGCAACTGGATAATAATATGCTTACTTGTATTGATACTGAAGCTATTAGAAACCTTAGAGACCTGGAAGTACTGTAAGTTGTATTAATTTTTATCTCAATAAAATATGCTGAAATTATATTGTATTAATGCAAAATATTATATTAATGAAATTATATGCTCTTAATTTATGGCAGGGCAGGGGTTAACTAGTGAATAAACCAAAACAACAGGGTTCCTTATAGATGGATAGAAATTTATTTTCAATATACCTCAAATTTATCTTGAACCAGTACAATTTTATTATGTACTGTAAAATGAGGCAACTTTAAACCTTAGTCGTAAAATTACTCCAAAAATAGAATAGCATTTTGTGAAGTAAGCGAACCCTAATGAAGTGACAGACTTGGAAATGTCCCCTCTATAAAAAATAAGTTAGTTCTCTATGAACCAGAAAGTTATTTCGGGAAATCAGAAACAAAGAAGTGATTCTAATTTTGAATTAATGTTACCCTCCAAGGAGTAAATTGGCATGTTTTATAGTACCTAATAATAAGTGTTACTATAAAATATACTTAATAAATAGTTGAATGAAGGCCCTGTGATGACTTAGGTGATACGTAAATAAGAAAAACCAGATTAAAATATGAAAAGAAGTTAGATAAGAGGTCGTTATAGATTAATAATTCCGAATACTAAACAGGGAATAAAAATGTTTTATAGAAAACTGCATTCGACACAGTTTGTCTTTCGTAAGACTACTCATTTAGTGCTTAACATTCAAAAACTTGTTAGAATTCATTATTATATTATAAATTTAACTTTGTGGGTTGGAAACAAGTCCATTTACTTGATAGAAAAGAAAAAGAACACCTTAACGTTATTTAAGAATTTTTTTTTATTTAAATCTTTTTATTGAGAAATAATACATTTTGCCACATTTAAGGGCACTGAGTACTAAAGCTGATTGAGGCCCATTCATACTATATATACAATACAATAAAAAAAAAATAAAAAAAAAATATATAATAAATAAAAATAAAAATATTATTTTAAGAATTATATATTGTGAAAATAATTTAATAAAATTAATTTACCATGGTCAAGATTTACAATGATCTTTTTTTTTCAGAACTTTAAACAACAACAATTTAACATCTCTCCCAGCAAACCTCTTTGATGATCTCTATAGATTAAGAACTTTGAGGCTGTCAGAAAATAAGTTTGCCTGTGACTGTCATATTACATGGTTGACGAAATGGTTAAAAAAGTTCCCACGCCTTGGACTATATACTCGCTGTTATTCGCCAAATCATCTTAAAGGACAAAGTGTTGTGGATTTGAATGAACAAGACTTAAGATGTTCAGGTAACTATACTTTTTTTTTTGTTTTAGTTATTATTATTATTCCTGACTAAAGTGATATATATTTTTTTATACTAATAATTAAAATATACAGCAAATTGTTTGATGAACTTAATCTGGATACTTCTTTAGAAATAACTAAATAAAATTTATACCATTTAGTTTTATTCTGGATACCATTTATACTATATACCATATCTCTTCTTTTATACTGCCATTTAGTCAGGTAATATATAATCTACGAGTATGTATCTTACCAACTAGTTTTGGTATTCACTTTTTTCATCATTTGCATGCCAACTCTCTTTAACCATCCTAATTTTTATATTTACTGTGTATTATATGTACACTGGGCTTTTCTCCCTATTTAACTTATAGAAAACAATAAACTTTCAGTCTGTAATCAATGTGATATACACTGTCCTACTATTTGAATTAGTGTTTACTAGCGCCGCTTTACTGACCTCTACCAATATCTTATATTTTTATTTCAATTCTTGGGATGATCTCCTCATTGCAACGAGCCTTTGTTTTTTTGTTGTTTTTTTAATATCTCTTCTCCATGACATTTACTTTATTAATATACTCTTTTATTTTCTGCTTGTCTATTATTTTTATACAAGTTTAGTAAAAGTTACAAATATTTATTATTATCCTTTATTTGAAAGATTTACCTAAGGTATACCACTTAAATATATTTACCATATTGAATTTCAGTATATTGGGTTGGCAAATAAATCCTTTCCGTTTTTCAGGGTGAAATAAAACTCAATGTATTATAGACATAAAATTTATTTTAATCTACAATATATTGACCATTATTTAATATGACTTTTTCCCATCTTTACACTAACTGCATAACGCGATGTTCATAGAATGTCTGGAGTTATTTGTTAAAAAACTGATCCAAGTAGTTTTTAATGTCCTCTTCTTTTTGGAATTTCTTTCCATTCGTGAAGTTCTGCAGAGACTGGAATAAGTGGTGAGAGACCAATGAGGTGTGGGGCCTAGTGTTTTGTTGGTGGAACACAACACCCTTCTGATTTGCCAGTTCTGGGCGTTTATTTTTAATTGATCCAAGTTTGTTAATTGTGAGCATTATAGAGTTGAATCAATTGTTTTTTCTGATGGCAAAAGCTCATAGAAAATAACACCCTTGAAATCCCACCCTATGAAAAGCATTATCTTCTTTGGATGCAATCCGAGTTTTGACATTTTTCTAGGAGTCTCACTACTAGGCCCCCAAGATTTTTTACGGACTACATTATCGTTTTTATCTCCTGTTACCAACCTTTTCAAAAATGGGTCGTTTTGTTGTCGTTTCTGTAGTGGATCACAAATATAAATGCATGTTGCCAAGTTGACTTCGGTTAGAGAGTGAGTGACCCAAACATTAAGCCTGAAAATATAGCCGAGCTTGTGAAAATGGTTTTCTACACTTGTGTACAACACATTTAGGGCCATAGCAATCTCTCGCATTGATTGGGTGGGATTTTGATCAACAATGGCCTTAACATTGCTCGTTTCAATTTCATGTGGGCGACCAGACCGTTGAGCATCATTGATGTCAAAATTTCCTGAATGAAATTTGGCAAACCAATTTTGACAGGTGGTTCGGTTAAGCATCATCCCATAAACACTGCAAATTTTTCTATGAGCTTCTGCAGCACGCTTACCTTTTTTAAAATAATACAACAAAATATGCCGATAATGAATGATATTTTCTTCCATATTCACAGTGCAATAGCAAACACAATACTAAGCTAGTTTCAACAAGAGTTAACAGATATAGTTGTTGACATATTACAAACAGGATAAACAATCCACCTTAGGGATTAATTCATCAGATAAGAAGTGTATCATAGTGACATAAAAATAAACAGAAAAACCGAAAGGACTTATTTGCCAACCCAAATATGTTGGCAGTTGGTACTTTTTTTTCCTTTCTTAACTTGGGTTTCCCTTTATTTCTATAATTTTTCATTATTATTTAAAAACAAAACAAACAAACAAAAAAAAATAGTGAAACTTTATACAATTCTCGATAAAATAAAGCTATGTCGGTAAAATAAAGGACTTCTTTGCCAACCCAATATAATTTAAATTTGTTTACCTTATTGAATAGAAATTTAATAAGATAATTTCATATATGTATACAAGTCATTTCAAAACAGCTTCTTCCTAATAAATATTATTATTTTTTTCATTATTTTAAATAAATATTGTTTGTTAAAAAAACTCTAGTAAAATTGTGCCTGACCAAAAAATTTTGTAGAAGGAATAGGATTAAAGTAAGAATAACAGTTATTGTAAAAAAAAAAAAATGGTTAGTTTATTTATATTTTATACTGCCCGTCGCTAATCAGAAAAAAACTGTCCCCAATGGCTTAAAACTTAATGTTGTGTTTTTCTTACAAAAAAAATATATATATTTCCTTTTATCTTTATATTTTATTTCATTATCACTAATTAAAAATTATTCTTGATATAATAATTAGTATTTTTATGGTAGTTAATCGATTTATTATTAAAAATGTAATGATTTAGGTGTGGTAGAAAAGACAATTGGAGAATGCCAATCTGAACCAAGTTGTCCTCATCAGTGTAGATGTGCTGATGGTATTGTTGACTGTCGGGAAAAAGGACTAACCGTTATACCACAACATCTACCTCAAGCAACAACTGAAGTGTAAGTGTTGTACTTATGGTCATTTAATGAATTCAGATTAGATTAAAGTAAATTTGCATGTGCTAGCTAGAAAAGAATAAAACGACAGAATTTATTCATGAAAAACACAACTATGGTGTAGTAGTTAGAAAATGCTGTCTAATTACTATTAGGAAAGGGCGTAATTCCTGAACAGGGGTGCCCAGAACGGGTTGTCATGATGCAAGTTGCACCATCAAAATTTTTGGAGTGGGTATAATTTTATGGGTATTTTGAAATATTGAGGGGAGGAAGGCTCATTTTGATGTGATTATGAATTTCTCAAGAGAGCAATGTTTCAATATGGAGGAGCTTTCAAATAAAGATACAAGGGAAGAAACATGGAATAGATTACAGTAAGTGTAACTAACTGTACACAAATTTCAATTTTTATTATTCAACTCCTCGTGCGGGCTCATTACTGCGTATGAGGAGGGTCCCACGGGTGGCGGATGTGGGGATGGTCGGTGGAAATTCCTCCCGGCTAATTCCGATGGACTCGCTGACCAACAATGAGAGGGGCCCTCCAGACTTGCTGGAGGGTGTGACATAGGATTGAACGCCCTACTCACATATCTTTAGTTCACCAAACACCACAAATAGTCATGGATCTCCCTAAGGTAAAACGCTCATTATCCGGAGGTAAACTAGTCTCCCGTTTGGGTCTCCGGGTGGGGACTGCTTTAGGGGATTCATGGCGCAAGTTGAAATATAGGGATTTAAATATTGGTACGTGGAGCTGTATCTGGGTAATATAATTGAGGTAATTTCATCGCGGCGAATCAAATGGGCTTGTAAAGTTGCTGGGCTTAGTAACGAGAGAATTCCTAAAAGGTTAATATTTGCTGTGCCGAATGGTAAGCGTCCGAGGGGTAGACCGAAGCGAAGGTGGGAAGATTGCATTAAAGCCGATCTGAAGGGACTGGGTTTGGACGGCGAATGGTGGAGGGAGGTGTGTAACAAGCGATTGGTGGTGTCGGCATCGAACCTTCGGGTTCGCTAAGCCTTTTATTATTATTATTCAACTTCTGTTTGCATAGTTTTTAAGTAGAAGAAAGCAAAATTTTTTTGGGAGGGGGTGCCATCAACCTTGGGGAGTATACCTGTTCCTGAAATCTCTGAAGATTTTTGTTTAAGGAATTGATAAATATGTACAGCAGGTTTACTGTGTATTATATTGAAATAAAGAAAATACTCTTTTAGTACAAATTCATTTTTTATTATGTATTCATTATATAAAGCTTACGGTGCCTTGCACCATATTCATTTGTTTTTAATCTGAATCCATCCACTATGGCTGTTGTTCTTTCAAAAATATTTTTTACTTTTTAATCATTGATAGATTTTTATACTGTTTTGTTAAAATCTATATTATTAAAGGAGAGAGGATCTTTTTTGTCCAGACCAGAACAAACTCTGATAGCTTCCTCTAACAAATAAATAATTTAAAAAATTAGACTGTGCTAAAAAGGGTATTCTTCATGAATTAATAAATATTTCAAGAAGGATTATCTAACTGATTGAATGAATAAGTTGTATATTAATATAAAAATACAAAATCAAAGTTGTTGGGAATCATATAAATTTTTATTAATTACCAACATATTGTTACGTTGTCAACAGATCTTATCTCTTTCATGGTATGTTGAACTGAACCATGGGTTGTTTATACATCATAATATTAATTTTTTATTAATACCAAGCAGTACGCTGCAGATATATTATATTGATTTTATACTTATTTTAGAATGAAACTTAGTATCTAACATATCTTCTAACCAACACAGGTCACTGAAACAGATGTTTTATGTTTCTCAATGATATATTCAGTGTTTCAAAGCAATATTTGCTTAATAGTACAAAATAATAAATCCAATATTTTTTTTTAATCTGCTATTTTTAGGGGGAACATTATTCGGGATGGCACTGTATAATTATTGGTGATAATCACTCAGAAATAGTTATTAAAAATTAATGATAAAAAATGAGTAAAAGTAATTTGAATATATATTATATTGATTGGTCCAGGATTAATTAATTGAATCCCTTTTCTCAAAGGCTAGTTTGTTTTTATCATGCTTTCTAATTACCATCATTACCTGTGATAATGATAATATAAATAGGTGGCAGAATTAAAAATAACTTTACTAAAAAAACTTAATTTATCACTATGTTCAATAAAGTATATATATGATATACAAATTATATGGGTATGTTAATTTACAAATTATATTGAAAACAATCTGAATAAAACTATAATCCAATGAATTTAATAATGACTTTGAATGAATATATGATACAGATGGACAGGTTTATGATGTATGCTATAATATTTTTACATTATTAAATCTACGATAGTCTGGGAATTAAACTTAACTGAGATTTAAGAAATGGTGAAGTAGGTGGTGTTGATCTTCTCTGAGGTTCCATCACGCATCAGCTGGACGCAACCAAGCTGCACCCTTTGTCTCCATAGCAGGAAGAAAACATCATACCACTACACCATCAGTCTCCAAGGTCGGGAAAAAAAACATAAGATTCAGACCCTTTACTTCTAGGTGATTTTATACAAAAATCCAGGGTGGGCAAGGATGGTTCTGATTGGCTTTCAACTTCGGCGTGTGTGAAATTATTCAAACTGGCAACATCCAAAAGGGTACCAGTTACTTTGACCTGTTATCAGTTACTAGCAAACTTGAGAAAATGTCTTCTCAGGTGTCCTTAAGTACCTGCTACTCCATCTTGATGTCGTGTCTTTGATGTCGGCTTCTTTTAACAGACTCTTTTTCTTGGTTTCCGTTGTCAGTACCTCATATTAAGTTTAAAACATTATTTGCTCTGTTTAATACACTTCAGTATTTTAGCCCAATTGATACTTTTACTGACAATTATTTCCAAACTGTAAATGTTAACATAAAGTTTAATATAGTTGTAACTTTATATTGAACAATTAATTTGGCCCTTGGTGACGAATTATTTTGACATTGCCTGACTTTAATATTAAATTTAATAAAACATTCATATTGTCACATGTTCATTGTTTAAAATAAAATCCTTCATTTACCATCTTTAAGTATCTAAAAATCTTGTATTACTGTTTTATAGATATCCCTGCCTTGTGAAAATTTATTTGTTTCTTATTTGTATTTTATTTTTGTTTTTAGACGCTTAGAACAAAATGTTATTACTGAAGTTTCTTCTAAAGCATTTGTTCCATATAAGAGACTGAGGAAGATGTAAGTAACTTAATTTTATACAAACTGATCTTACTTTTCATTCAAATAATATCACTGTAAATATTTCACAAAAACAGATCTAAAAATTTAGTGGTGTTTACTTTTCATATTATATTATATTTTGTATTATATTTTTCATATATTCATGATATTATAGCTTTTTCTCTTGAATGATAATTAATATTTATAATTCTGTTTAACAATGCATATTAAACATTTTCTCCTATAATTTTGCAGAGATTTAAGCAAAAATGCTATATTTAAAATAGCAGTTGATGCATTTTCTGGACTGAAGTCATTAACTTCCTTGTAAGTATTGTAAATCTAGTACCATTTTACATCTACATACTATTAGAATTTTTTTTTGTGGTATAAACACTTTTTATTTTATCAGAATTATTTAATGGGACCAAATAATTATATTTATTCTCTATATACTATTATTAGCTTCATTTTGATTATTTGTTAGTTTCACTGTTGATTTGTATTGTATAAGAATGTTAATACCAATTCCTTACATTCTCTTTTTAAATGATTAAAGCATACAAAAAATAAATACATCATTTTATATTACATTAATCACTTTCAGGGTGCTTTACGGGAACAAAATCAAAGAGCTGCCTGGAGGTGTGTTTCATGGTTTAACTTCACTTCAACTATTGTAAGTAATATAGATGAGATTTTCTGCCTTATAAATCTATTTTCCTATTTCCTAACAGTGGATGGATCACTTATGTATATTTCTTTTTTTATTCAGGTTACTCAATGCTAATGAAATATCCTGTATTCGGAAAGATACATTTAAGGATCTGCATAACTTAAATTTGCTGTAAATATTGCACCATTTAAAGAATTAATTTTTTGAGATTCTAATGTAATTTTATTTACATTTTTGTTTTTATTATCTTTTGTCAGGTCACTGTATGACAACAATATTCAATCTCTTGCCAACGGGACATTTGATTCAATGAAAAGTATTCAAACCATGTAAGTTAAGTTCAATCTTACTAAAATATAATAATGCTTTAATTATACATTTTTTTTTACCTAAAAAAAAATGTATGAACTATTAATTTTTACCAAAAATTTATAAATGGAAAGAAATCACTAAACGTTGTCATTATTTTTAGGCATTTAGGACGAAATCCTTTCATTTGTGATTGTAATTTGCGTTGGCTTGCTGAATATTTACAGCGTAACCCAATAGAAACATCTCAAGCAAGATGTGAGACTCCTAAACGCATGCAGAAAAGAAGAATAGAAGCTTTAAGAGATGAAAAGTTCAAATGTAATCATTCAATTTCTGTATTTGTTTATTTTTCCTTAATTTCATCATAATGATATGAAAAAGGAAATTAATTAGTAATTAATTGAAGGATATGATTCTATGTGCTAAAACTTTTGCATCTATTTATTGATTATTCAAAAGTTATTGAAGGTACCAGATTTCATCTATGTTTAATCTCATAGGTCACTGAATTCATAATCTTGGATCACAATACCATTAATTTAACTATTTTGATAAAGATGAATATATTAGTTAAATTATGATAACTTACATTTTGTTATTATAAAATTCAGCTATTTAATCTAACAAAATTATAATTTCTTATTTAATCAAATTTTTTTTTATTTTATACTTTGAAACTTCAGTTTCATATATTCAAGCCATAAAAGAGTACCAGGTAAGCTAAATAGTTATTATCATATTTACTATAAAAGCATATGCAAAACTGTTGAGCATTTTAATCTGTTTTTTGTTTTACTTAATTTTCTAGTTCTAACATTAATTTCTGATGTATATTAAATTATACAAGGCTTCAATACCCTTATATTTATATTTACTTCTAACAGGTGTTGAAGAGTTCCGAACTCGTCATGCTGGTGATTGTTTAGCTGATACTGAATGTCCTAGTGGCTGTTCATGTGAAGGCACTCTGGTAGACTGTTCAGGGCGAAGTTTATCTGAATTTCCTAAAGATTTTCCTATTTATACTACAGAATTGTAAGAATTATTTAAGTTTTCAATTTACCTCATGTTTTATGAAAAATGTAGGATATTTTTTATATTTTGATTAAACTGAATTGTTTTATTTTTGCTAATATTCATTTATTCCTGGGAGCGGAGTATCTCAGTGAGTTAGGCACTGGGATGCTAAGCTCCAAGTTCTTGGCTTTGTATCCGGCTGATGTCAAGTAATTTTTCATCAGCCGTGGATCAACCCTGGGGTCCGAAGTCTTCTGGGGCACACCCAACCTCTACAAAGTGGGTACTCTTAATTAAATAATTAATTAATGGGGGAAACCTGGACGTTAAACGTGATCCTGGCCCAATCACCTTCCCGCACAACAAACTACTGAACCCAAAACCCTTCATGGGTTAAGGTGGTAGTTTTTTTTTATTTTATTTTTTTATATTAATTTATTCAATAGTCAGTCAAAATTATTTATCAGATAAAGCAAATAAGTAAAATTGGCTGGATTATTGACTATCATGATTATATTTCTGTCTGACATATATATCATGCGAATGCAAAAAAACACTTCTTAGATATATATTTATTTATCATTTATGTTCAGATATAAATAGAATCAAAATTTGTAGTGTGGAAATGCAAATTAGGAAAAAAAAAAAATCATATTGTTTTATATAGAATCATTTTATACATACATAAGATAATTAGTTTCAAAACCAGCTATATCCTCATTTATGTTTTTATTTTATTTTTCACATTTTTTCAATTCACTACATCACCTAGCAAAGCTGTAATAATTGGAAACATCTTAATCCAGTATAAAAATCAGTTAATACTCATGAAGTTGCGTTGTTCTAATAGGGCACAATCATGTATTTGGCATTTCCTGTAAAAGTTTTGAAAATTAATTGAGCTGGTTTTGAAACTCATCGCCTCAAATATTGAAAAAAAAAACGGAAAGTATTTATAAAATTCCACCATAATCAAATAACACAAAAATTTATGACATATTTTGTATCTATGATCTTATTATAAATTCTGTGAAGATTGCTCTATTATACAAGACTCAACTACAATTATTGCAACTTCCATAACATATCTCTTCCTTATTATCTGTGATCTATTCACTTCCATATCTCCTAATGGTTTTGAGCCAAATAGTTTCCTAATACTATGACCCCAGATAGATTCTAAAACTAATCAATGTTTTTTTCTAAAGAACTGTAATAAGAGATACTGATATTAAGTTTTTGGCATTTCAACAAAATTATTATCCTTCTTATCTAATGGTGAATCTAGAGAGCCGGTTGAGTGTCAATTTAGCTCATTGATTGCTAAAGCAGTCCCAGGCTGCTGACATGAAATTTTAATACACATCACAGGCCGCCCAATCCACGGAAAGGAAGCCTTTACACCACACTATCACTCCTATCTACAAATACTTGCAGTTTAGAGAACTGCTCTGACATGTTGCAATAACCAATATGGATAAAAACTGAGGTAGTCTTTCTGTGGCATCACTGTGCAGACCCTTTTCCTCCATTCTGGTAGACCTCTCAGGGACTGCCTACTAAGAGTGGTTAATCACTCATACCAGGGAACCATTCAAGGACCGCTTAACAAATTTAATTATTTGAGACATCTGGGCATAAATAAAACTTGTGTTGAAATATTGTTTTGTTGCCCAATTGGTGTGAATAAATTTTTAAAAAATGCCTGGCAATGTATGACAATTTCTGAATTTCCTTTAGTAGTCTCATGGCACTTTAAGTGACATCTAATTAAAAAAAAAAATAGATTAATCAAACTTTTACATCAACATTAATGTCATTTCTAAAACCATTATTGTATTTAAAATTAATTTTTTGAATTTAAAAAAATGGACAATGATAGAATGATATAATTTACTTTGTGATTTGTACATTTAATGGCTAAATAATTTTATATTAATTATTTTTATCACAGGCTTATGAATGACAATGAAATCAAAAGGATTCGATCTGATGGACTTTTTGGAAGATTACCTAATTTGGTAAAATTGGATTTAAGAAGAAATAAAATAACTGGAATTGAAGGAAATGCATTTGAAGGCTGTCATCACCTGAGTGAACTGTAATTCTATTTTTCCAACATTATATCTAGTATAAATTTCATGAATTTATATTTTGTGAATTGTCTTTATTCAGTCTATTTTCCCTTTTAGAAATTAATATTACTCTTTGACTTTCTATTATTTAGTTGTTTATCAATGTTATTAAAAATTTATGATGTAATCTGTTAGAAAATATATTCCCTCTTTTTCAACTATATAAAATAATAATTAATTGAGGTTATAAATTAATCTGCTTATGAGTACTTAAAACATATTGAGATTCATTGTAAGATACATTTTTAACATGAATGAATTACTTCATTATTTTCTAGTTTTGACATTTTTCCTTTAATTATTCTCTCCTTAGTTTTTGCCTATAGGTCCAATTTAAAAATAATCATTTTCTATTTGTAGATTATTCTTTATTAATTTTTATTTGTACGTTTTGGGGAATCTTTGTCTCTCAACATCTAAAACTATATAAATAATAGGTTTTATCCTGAACCAGTCATTCTCAATTCTAAATTAATAATATTTTAAACTTTTATTTAACTTAATTTAAATTATTTTATATACATTAATTTTTTATTAAACGAATCCTTTTCCTTTTTTTCTAGATATTTTGCCTTTATAGATGGTTTCCTTCACCCAACTTTCCCAAATCATGTTTCTAATCAAAACCGTGTTTCTAAGAATCCTTCTGACTGTTTTGGCAGTCATGGTCACTTCAGTCTTCCTCACTAATTATTTTTTAATCTTATTATTAATAATATTAATGCTTTCAAATTATTTATTTCAGAATACTAGCAGAAAATGAAATTGGAGAAATACATAACAAAATGTTTATTGGACTCCATAATTTAAAAATTTTGTAAGTAGTTATTGGCTGTTTTTATTTTTCGATAATTTAAAATACTCTTCAGTTTGTTCAATTTATTAGTTTGTAGTAAATATAAAACCATATTATATCTTCTTCTTCATTGATATCCTACCTACCGCCATGGCAGTGTTAGGGTTCCATTGCTGAGCCTGGACCATAAGTCTCTCCTGCCGATTCTCTTCTCCTTTTCCAATAGATCTGCATGCTTGTGAATGCTTCTTTTATTTTATACCTTCCTCCTACCTTTTCCTTCGCCTTCCTGTTGGTCTGGTAATTTTATTTTCATCCATCATAGTGATGCTGCAATATCACCGAAGTTTATTCTCCTCAATCACTGTTCTGTCATTGTGGCATTCCTAATTCGGTCTTGCCTTGTTTTACCTTCAATTCCCTGAAGAAATCTCCTCTCAGAACTCTGCAGTAGACTCTTGTTCTTTATCATAATGGCTCAAAATTCAATGGAATATGTCAGTTGTGGGATGAAAGTAATTTTGTTTATAGTTTTTTTGCAATCTTTGTTCCTGTTGATACTTCTCTCCTGTTAAGGAAGCCGCAACAGTGTTGAAAAACTTTCCAGCTGACAGACACCATTCTTTCTCTGATCTCATCCAAGCTTCATCCAAATCTTCTTCATCTATTAAACCCTGCTCCTCCCAAATTCTCTGCTCTTTTGTCCTAACGTCAATTCCACCAAGTAGTTGTTGAAAATATTGTTTCCACTGACCCATTACATATTTGCTTCTATTCAGAAGTTTTCCATTTCTATCCTTAATGAATTTTAGGACTGTTCCCCTTTCCTTCCAGATGAAAAGAGAACAATCTTGCAGAATGCAGACTAACAACCTTTGATTTTGTCCGATTCCCATCAAGCTTGAGTCTCTTTCACCAATTTTTCAACCTCTTTCTGGTATCTTTTTGCTGTTTCCTCTTCTTTCAATTAAAATATTTTATTTTATTTTCTGATTTCAGAGAAGCTCTTGTCTTGATCCTAGACTGGTTTATCCACATCTTTCCCATAATTAATAGAAAGTGGTCGCTTCCTACTATATTATATAATTGAGTTATATTTAATTGTATTATGATATTTTACTGATATCTACATGGAATGTCATAAGTATCTGGAATATGATATAATTTTTATGTTTAACCTATTTTTACCTGTTTTTATTTATTTATTTCTTATCAATCCATTTGTTGAAGTGAAAGGGATAGTATATTGTAACAAGAAACAAAATTCAAATAAAAAAACATTTATTTTACACATTTTTAACTTGAAACTAGAAAAAGAAATCAGCAGTATCAGTTACATACTGCAGCAGTTATGATTGGAACATAAAATTAAATTGATGATTGGTGAGAATGTAAAAATAGTTTATATAGGTAAAGAATAGGATGATATGATTTGATACCTGGGAATCTTGAAATTAAATGGTAGTTGTGAAATAACTTTTACTGGAAAGAAAAACAATTGAAATTCCAAAGACTTTTGACACTTAGTGTATAACTTTTCATCAGTCCTATGGCAAAATTATTTTAATCTTTTGTTTATTTTAGATCACTTTATGAAAACAAGATCAGTTGTGTTATGCCAGGTTCATTTGATTCTTTAGCTTCTTTACACACACTGTAAGTTACTGTCAAGCGCTGAGATATGTGTGATTTTATTATTTTGAATATTATTTATAACTATATTTTGTTCCCTAGTAACCTTCTTTCAAACCCATTCATCTGCAATTGTCATCTTGCTTGGTTTTCTGAATGGCTTCGTCGTAAAGAATTATTAGCTGCTAGTCCACGTTGTATATCACCTACAAGACTAAAAGATGTTGCTATACATGAAATTCCACAACATGAGTTTAAATGTACAAGTAAGTATTAAGTATTAATACAGCAAGTACAGTTGTAAAACCAGTATAATTTCACTTACAAATAAGACTTAGATTTAACCTTTTAGATGCGCAAAGCCAATATAATGGCTCGGGCCGGCCGTGACACCAGTGGGCAATGCCAATATAGCGGCTCCAGAAAATACCCCTCAGTACCCCGTGCACATGGGACCTGACCTTGATTCAGGCTCCATGCAACTAAAAGATTAAATTAGTCCTAAAAAATCATTATAATCCATCTTTCAAGAATTCAATATAAGATTAAATACTCAATAAATAACTTTGTATAAAATCATTACAAAAAATATTTATTGCTAACAAAAGCAAATTAAATTTGTTCAATATAGTATTAATTGTATGAAAAGATTAATTTCATTATATTTTATTAGGTCATTCAAAATAACACTACATTTGAAAAGTTAAACATTATGACAAGTAATTTCTGTAATGCCTCTTTTATATAATTGTATAAGCAGTTCTTGTTTTTTCATTAAAGTATACTATCACAGTATTTGGTCTTGAAGCACCCCACCATTTCACTCTGACCTATTGAAGCATAGAGTATCTCCTAAGGATATTCTCACAATCATTTAAATTAAAAATAGAGCAATTTGGATTCATGTCTAGCTCTCCAATAAACTCTAAGGTTCAAGTTAAGGAATTCACCTCTTGTTTTAAATATTATCTTCATAAAACTTTATTCATTTCTATCATGTATACATTTGTTTTGCTTTTTAACCAATTCTGTATTTTACTTAATTTTGTTTGCAGGTGAAAATGATCAGGGCTGTTTAGGTGACAACTACTGTCCTCCCAAATGTGTTTGTGCTGGAACAGTTGTTAGATGTAGCAGAGCTAAACTTGTTGAAATTCCTCGTGGAATACCACCTGAAACTTCAGAACTGTAATTAATTTTTGTTTATTTAGATAATAATTATTAGGCATTTCTACATCCAATTCAACATTTTATTTTAAAATTCTCAAAAAGACATTTTCACATTCATCTATCAAACAATCACATTTTTCCATTAAGTTTTATCGAAGACATATACATCCTATCAAATTTTTTAAAAATTATATTATTCTTAAATATTATTATTTAATTAATTATTCATAATTATGGAATCATTTCTTAATTATATATTTATTATGTTACTATGCTTCATATATTATACAATTTATGATGCTATATAAAAAAGTGAAATGTCTTAGATATTTTTATAATGATTTTCATTGCTGAGGAATGTTCTAATTATTATTCAAATTGGACATACGATTTTTTACTCTATGATTGCTTGGATTCTGCAATCTACAATGCACTGGAGATCATGTGCTTACTTCAGAGATCAAAACACAATATGCCTTCATCAATGAAAAGTGAATGTTGTATTATTTTTCTATATGAACATGATATTCTATGCAGTGTTCCTTTAAAGTTTTTTCAATATACTTCTTCTCAATACACTTTTTAAAATAGCTAAAGAGATTTAAAAGTTGAATAGAAAGTAATTCTGAGGAACTAGTTTTGGAATATCTCTGTAAAAATACTTTAAACCATTTGAAATATATTTTTTTTAATGAAACTATCTTCAGAGGTTAGAGTTTTGATAAGTGATTGATTGATTATTTGCTAAAAAAATAAAATTGCTGCTGATAAAAAATGTCTTCTTGATAAAATATGATTAATGGCTTTTGGGTATCATAGTAACAGGAGATATATGGATTTTCTAATAAAACATTTTTGTGCAGCTTTCTATATAATGGAATCATTCACTGACAAATGAGAAGTTTGATTAAAAAAAAGTAATATAGTGCTAATGAAATGTGCCCATGTTTATATTATTTAAATTCTAAAACTTGTCTAGACATGCCTAATATGTAATAAATGTTTCTGTATTCATATTGACTAAGTTTAGAAGTAATTTAAATCTACTAAATATTGTCTAAAAATCTTTTGAATTTTTTATATGGTTAATATTTTACTTGCCTTTAAAGTTTTGTATTTACTTTTTTTTCAGGTATTTGGATGTCAATGATATTCAATCAATAGACGTTGAAAAAATAAGCCATTTGAAATATTTGACAAGGCTGGATTTGAGTAATAATCAAATAACAGTTATCTCAAATTTCACATTTGTCAATTTAACCAATCTTTCAACTTTGTAAGTAATATATATCACTCAATATTTTTGAGTAAGTTCATACTTGATATATTATCCTGGAAAAAATTACTAAAATATTCCAGTATCCTTAGTAGTTGTCAATTCAGTATTATATTTATGTACTTTTATATCATGGTGTCTCATTATCATTAGAAGATGTTAAATTATGGTTAGAACTGATGAACCCATTAGTCATATTATGAACCCATCATTATTATATGCATTACATCATGCAAAAGTATATTATATGCATTACATTGTTATTCAAATATTTATGTATATATTTATATCAGATGAATGAACAGTACCAAAATGTTCTAGAAAAGAGAAAATATAATAAATACATAAATGAATAAAAAATATATGGTTAGGCAAAAACAAATACAAAAATTATGTGGAGAACAAAGGTATATATGTATATGTATATATTATACACACACACTTATATATACATATGTATGTATATATATTACTACTCCTACTACTATATATATATTATATTATATATATTAGTAGTAATAGTAATTATATATATATATATATATATATATATATATATATATATATATATATACACTGTAAATATATGTATATATTATACACACACATATGTATATATAAGTGTGTGTGTATAATATATACATATATACCTTCAAAAGTTAAAACTTAATTTTCTGTAGTTTTTTTTTTGTGAAGGAAGCACAAATCATCAAAATTTAAAGAGCTTTAAGAAGAAGAATCTCGGTAAAATTCATCAAAATTTATAGAGCAGTTTTGGTGCTAAAATATATAAAAAACACATTTTTTGCCTAATGTGCAGCCACTATTTTATATTAAGTGCCAATTTAGAAAACAGAATACAATAAAACAAAAACAAAAATCAATCCACTGACAAAATAGTGACAAAGACACACATACAGACATACCAATGGCCTAAAATATGTTTTTGAGTCCAGGGGACGTTTGAAAAACTACACAATGGAAATTTGACCCATTAAAATACTTTCCTTACTTAGTGAAGGAATTAAGAACTTTCCTTATAAAAGAAATTAAAATATCTTATTTAAATAATTATTGTTCCTAAAGTATGGTTAAACTGAACCGAACTACATTGATTTGCAGTACTAATACAAAAAGTTATTTGTTTAAAACTAAATTAGTCATATTTTTAATAGATTGTTTGTAAATAAAAACATTTTTTTCAGGATTCTAAGCTATAACAAAATACAGTGTATTGAACGTGACGCATTGGCTGGATTGAAACTGTTGAGAATAATGTAAGTTAAATAGATTTAGATCCAAAGAATATATATGTGTGTGTGTGTTGTACCTACATTCTTTATTTTTGTATTTTAATTGCAGATCTTTGCATGGCAACAATATTTCGATGATACCAGATGGAGCATTTTCTGATCTGCACATAATCACTCACTTGTAAGTACTTCAATCACCATCCTCTTGAAGAAATAGTTGTCGTATATGGTCTCCCATTGTCATTAGTTAGTTGAAATCTCCCCTCAGACTTGTTTAGTGTAACAGTGAAGTGCTGAACTTTCTTTCAACACTGTTTAACTAATTTTATTAAGAGTCATATGTACCTTAAAGACTAAATTAAAATTTATCTGTGACTAAATTAGAAACTCTTGTTCATAATTCCATTTTATATCATCTCGCAGGAAATGTAATTTATTTATTTAGTTGTATGGTTTATACTATATATTTTATGGTTTCTCAGTTGTTATGTTATATAGTTTATTATAGAACAGGTAATGTTATGAGATTTTGGTAAATATTAGTGTAATGTTATGTTATGAACTTAGTTAAAAAATCACATTTTTATACCAACACTAATTTCATAAATAAGTTTTTAAAGAATGAAAAGCAAATTTAGTTTTATAAAGCTGGTAGTTTTTCAAATTACAATTCATAATTACTAGTCTTAATAATTAGAAAAAATTCAATTATTCCATTATTTTTTCAGGGCTTTAGGTTCAAATCCACTGTGGTGTGACTGTAGTTTACGTTGGTTAGCTGATTGGGTAAAACGAGACTATGTTGAGCCTGGAATTGCACGTTGCAGTGAACCACCTAATTTAAAAGATAAACTTTTATTGACAACACCTTCATCTTCATTCCAATGCAAAGGTTTATCATTGAATCCATATTTAACACATTAATCAAATTTTGAATACAATTTAAAAATCTAAATTAATGAAATTTTCTTTGTATTATAGTTCGAGTAAGAAATGATATCTTAGCCAAGTGTAATGCATGTTATACTAATCCTTGTTCAAATCAAGGAGAATGCGAACCATTACCAGAAAGAAAGTACAAATGCATATGCACTCCAGGTTATCATGGAAACCATTGTCAGTACATGATTGATGCCTGCTATGGGAATCCATGTCGAAATCAAGGAAGTTGCAGAGTTTTAGAAGAAGGAAGATTTAGGTTTGTATTAAATAAATCAGATGAATTAAATTATTATTATTATTATTATTATTGCCAGTTTGGATTTTTAGTTGTCAAACAAAGGACAAAATAAACATTATAATTTATCTGTAAAATAATTATCGTGAAAAATAATTAATTTTGCTCTGTCTACATAATTATAATTACTGTGTTGATTAGAATTTTCTGACATTTTTATTTGAAAACTTGAATTACTGTTAATGCTGAGCTCAAAAGAATTGACGTTTCTCTTAAAGAACAATATTTTATTGTTAAAGAACTTTATTAGGGATATTTATATTTATTTAGCCTGTTTGTTCCAATTATTTTATCTTTCATGGCTATTACTGCTTTTTCTTTAACTTTGGTTACATAAAATGCTTGAATTTACTATGCAAGTCTGGAGAAATAAATAAGTAAATGAAATAATCCATAAATACCACAAAAGTTCTTTGCTTCACTACTTGGTAAAAACATGTTGTTTTTGACCAACAGTTATGTGAAGTTTTGTGGTCAGCAAATATGCTCTACTGCAGATTCTCAATTAAGAGTAAGATATTTTCTATGAATACATTGGTATGTACCCATAGCTTCAGGAAACTTGTCTAACCCCTGAGTCAATCCATGGTGGAGAAGGTAGAATACAACCTGACTAAAACTCGGACTTAGGAATTACATACTGAGATATCCCACTTTATATAAGTTCAAATAAACTTCTGAATCCAGAATTATTTTAAAATATGATATTTAGTAATTCATCTATGTTTGGATTCGAGAATATGTTTTTAAACACATTCCTTTTTGAAGCTAAAAAGGGATGAAGATTTATAATTTTTATTATTTTAAACCAAATCTTTATAATACTTCAGATTTTTTTGGAAAATATTTATCTCTTTTATAATATATTTTTTAATTAATTTTAGGAAAATATTTAATTTGAGTTTTTTATGATTTTGCTAAAAATAAATGGAAGTTTGAACAAAATGCTTAAAATATTTATACAATTATCACTTATCATAATTCATTTTTAGTTGTAAGAATTCCATAGTAACTGAATTTATTAATGTGGTTAGTTATCCAATTACATATGTTTTGCAGTTGTGATTGCTTACCTGGATTTACTGGAACACATTGTGAAAATAATATTGATGACTGTTCACAAAACAAATGTGAAAACAATGCAACATGCATTGATTTAGTTCAAGCATATGAATGCAGATGTCAGGCTGGTTATATGGGTAATTATATTAACTAAATGATATTAAAAGCACTTAGTAAATGATCCAATTTGCGATTTGTTTTTTAAATAAATATAATTATAAGTAATGTACTTATTTATGCACTCACACACGAATTTCCTGTGTGAAGTTTTATTAAACTTCACAAGCTCTTTTTTTACCTCTTAAAGATAAATCTAGATATAATAAAACAGTCTGAAAAAAATTATTATTGAGTTAGGGTAAGTGTACCAGTGATGGACAAAGCTAAGGAAATGTTTGTCTTTTTTGGCTTATGCTGTCATAATTATTATAGTCATAAGCTTCTTTGTTGTACGTTATAGTCTCTTGAGTCTCCGTTTTTTATTTAAGACTTCAAAATTTGTGTTATAATATATAACAGGTATAATCTTCATTTAAAAAACAACATATTTTTGCACTAGTGATGGACACCCCGAACTTCAACTGTTCTAGTAATCAACAGGGTGTAGGTACAAGTAATGGACATACCTCAGAAAAATTCTAAAATATTTTAACTATAAAGATAGTGATAAAGATAAGATAAGATAAATGTTCAACTTTCTCTTAGCAAAACCGTTAGTAGGAAGGTATGAAACACGCTGATCTCAAGAGCACTGTAGAAACAACAATGATAGGCATTTTAAATTTTCTTTTGGGAACTTCATTCATACAGTTGTCAACAGAGGCTATTGTTCTTCAATATAGAAAACACTGAAACCTTAAAATCAACAACGAAGCTTATTATTTATATTTAAAGTCCAACTTGTTCATCACTGGGCCCTCTTTCCATAACTGGTGTGTTCATCCTAGTTATTTACTGAAATTAAGTTTTCTAAAGTGGTTGTTAAATATTCCATTTTTTAAAGGTTCATATTGTGAGAAGAAAATTCCTTTTTGTACAAAAGAATTCAATCCATGCAAGAATGATGCACAATGTGTTGATCATGTGACCCATTATACATGTGAGTGTTTGATTGGATATGCTGGAGAAAATTGTACAATTAATATTGATGATTGTAAAAATAATATGTGCCAGGTAAATTATTTTCTTTTATAATAAATGTTTTTCAATTGATTTAACTACAATATTCATTCAATAGAGTATATTTTACTTTAATCTTTTTGTTCAATTTAATTACACTAGGCATAAATATGGATTTATATATCTGTGGGCATGTATGATATATTGTATACTAGATGTGATTATTACAACAGTTACTATTTCTTCATTAAATTTGTTATTATATTTGGCATCTAATAGGAACATATTCATTAATATAATGAATATGAACTGATTTGATTACTTAAATGTTCGAAAGTTTTGGAGGAGATTGGAAATGATTAAATCCTTTAGGTTTGATAAAATTGATTCCCTTTGAAAGCTTTCTAAACATAATGAAATAACTGTAATTGTTTTTAGTATGATAGGATGGAAAATTGCAATCTTTCCATTTATTTATTATAAAATTCCTACAAATTGATTATTTTTTTAATATATCACCATATCTGATATATAGATGCTCATATATCAGTATTTACTGAAGAAAAAAATGCACAAACTTATGTTTAACAAATTCAATCATTGATATATAACATTACTAATGTTGAAATTATAGAATCATCTTCAGTAATTAATCAGAGTATTCTTATTTAATTGATGTTATAAATAGCCTATAAATTATTCTTTTCAATATTTCAGAATGGTGCAACTTGCATTGATGGTGTTAATGATTACACCTGCAAATGTGCTGATGATTATGTTGGAAAGTTTTGTGAAGTTGCACCCATGGTCATGCTTTATCCACAAACATCACCTTGTCAGCACCATGATTGCAAAAATGGAATTTGTTTCCAACCAATGGGATCAAATGATTATATTTGTAAATGTGCTCCAGGGTATTCTGGTAAGCTATTATAATTAACCTGTCAGTTTCTGCACATTGATTCACCAATATAAGAGTCTGAAAATTTCCATGTAATTCTACTCATGCATCAAAGTCCTCATTTACTCGTTTAGTTGATGTTTCTTTCTCTAAGATTTGCATAAAGCGATAATTATGTAAGCAATAGGTAAAAATAAAAACAAAAGACAAGAATTTAGATCAAAATTCCCTGAAATAATGAAACAAGTAGTGATGTAAGTCATTGAAAAATTGTAAATACATAAAGTAAAATAAAGCATAATATACCTTATGAAATATTCTGTTCATTTTCTTCTCTCTATTTTTTTATTAAATAACTGTTCAACTGTTTTATGCTTAATGATAACAATTAAAATTTAAAAAAAGATAAAATTATGGTATCAACCAACTAAATGTCTTTAACCCATTGCCTGTCAGGGCTAATCATATACATCACTGAGTTTCCCACTCTTTATGTCATGGATGCAGCAGGTAATGTCAACTTTGGAGGACCTCTTTCATTAAATCAAATACATGTAAAAAAAGTTTTATAAAAAAGATAAAAAATACAATGGCACACAGACCTTTTGTGACATTATCTAGAAACAGTGAAAGAATTAACTATCAGAAAGAATAATTAAGTAAATGAAACTTATAGTATCAGTACCAGCCTTAGGGCAGGGCAACCCGAGCATTTGTTCGGAGGCACCAGCCTGGAGGGGGGTGCCTACCACTTCTTTGAAAGTAAAAAAAATACAAAGTGTATGAGAATAATTTATTTTAGTTTATTAATAAAGCAGCTTAATTGGAGACTTATTGTATGAAATAAAATTTAAATAATATTTAATATAAAACAGCTTAAGACATTCATGCTGGTGTGCACCACTGGTACAGTAGTACAGTAGCTCGCACAAGACTTCCTCATCAGGTGGTGCATTCCATCAATGGCTCACATTTGATTATGCTGTCAGGCAGTGTGTAACACGAAAAATTTAGATCATTATATAAATATAAAAAATTGCCATGTAGTTGAAAATTTAACATATATTAATTTTTTTTATTTAAGGGTGTTTCCTTCATAAATTGAAGACTCCCTTAGCCAAATTCCTTCAGTTGGTTCCTCCATTTTTCCTTTCTCTTACCCTAGACCTTCCACTCAAATGCCGTTTTGTGAAGTCGTTCGCTATTCATCCTTTTCGCTATTCGTATATGCCCATACCACTTTAATCTTCTTTCTTACATTATGTTTAGTATATTATTCTACTAGTTATATAACTTCCATTATTTCTATAATGCTCTCATTTCTGATTCTTTGTGTCTTCTTTTGAGATTCTTTCCGACCTCCTCCAAAAATCCATCTCCACAGCTAGAAATCTTTTGCTCTGTAATTTCTCGAGCAAATATTAATTTCTTTACTGTAGTATAAATATTTTTGCTCCAACGCACGGATTTGAGCATACCAATTGCTTTCCGCCCATTTGTCACTTTTTTTTTCAATATCCTTCCTCACTCTTCCATTGAGTTCAAGTGTTAGTGTTCCATTGTGTTCCACAAGTGTTGAATTGTGTTCCATTGAGTTCAAGCCAAGATAGCAAAATTGGTGTACCCATCAAAGCTTTGTCAGAACTAGCATTATTATTATTATATTATTAAATAATATACATATATTAATTGAAACATTTATTTTCAATAACAATTATAATTAGTAACATATTATAAACATAACTTTCACTAACATCAACATAGCTTTAATTCAATAACAAGAACGTAATAATAAAATATCATGAATATAATCTTAATAAATTTTTGTCTTAAGCTGCAGTTGATGATATTTTAACTGGTTTGTGTAAATTTATTAAGCTTTATATGATTGTTATTTTTATTTATATCATTCATAAATATTACAGAAGCTATACTTTCTTGAAATGTAAAAGAATATTCGGTTAAACAAATTTATTAAAAAATCTGAAATTTTGAGATTGTTCAATTTAAAAAATCAAGTTTTCCTGAAAGAAAAAATAGGAATTAATTTTAAATTTGATGGAACAATATAGTTACTGTTTTACTCAGACTTAAAAGATCAGTAAAACTTGTTCATCAATCTTATTGGATTGGAAAAGCAAAGTCTATCACAAAGTAATATTCTTTAACATTAACTACTATAAAAATTAAATTAAAAACTATATTTATTTTCCTTCCTTTAACATATTTATCTGTAACAAAAATATTTTATTTCTATTACAGGAAAACAATGTGAATATCTTACCAGTCTCAGTTTCATGTATAATACATCTTTTGTTGAAATGGAACCTCTTAGAACAAAACCTGAAGCAAATGTGACCATGCTCTTTGCTACTACTCAAGAAAATGGAGTTCTTCTCTATGATGGTCAATCTGAACATCTAGCTGTCGAGTTATTTAATGGTCGAATACGTGTGAGTTATGATGTTGGGAACTATCCTGTTTCTACAATGTACAGGTAAATATTATCTCCAACTTTTGGGAATCAAAGGCAACTTAGTGATTCGTTTAAAACTTTTTTCTGTCTGGAAGTTAATAAAATCTTAATGATTATTTTCTATTAAATAAATATATGAATATTCATATATACATTATTATCTAAACATTAAGAAAAAAGGTTATGGTTTTAGTAGACAATTTAGAAATCAGTTGTTTTTTATACTATAGTACCAAGAGAAATAGTTTATAAAACCTTCTTTAAAGATTTTTACCTTTTAAAAGTTAATTTTTCAGATAATATTTATTTAATAATGTTAGTCTTCTAAAATGTTTTTTTATTTAAGTACTCCAAGCATTAACTATTTAACTGATATGTAAATAATCTCACAATAAATCATGTCTCATTGTATATATTAATTATGAAGGAACTTATTCATTATCATGATTAAAATACTGTAAAATTTCTACATGTCAAACATAAAGATTGAAAAAAACACTATATATAAAAAGATTTTTTATACCTTTTATACTAAAATCAATTACATTTCAATACCGCTTTATCGATTTGATCAAACTTTAATGATTTAAATTGCCTCCAATCTCTTCCAAAACTTTAAAATGTTTTAATAAAAAATTTACGGTTTTTGTAAGTCGTTGATTGCGTATTTTTTGTGCATATTTTTTGCCCAAATCTTTCTTATGAGTTGCTAAAAATTACTTTGCAATTGGCAATTAAAGTCTTACATTCCCACATTATTATTTTAAAATAAACTACTATATATTCATACATTACTATTTCATTTCATAATACTAGCTAAAATATTAACAACTTGTTTAAACACATATAATAATATAATTGACATACTTGGGTCACTTCAAAATTTCAGTCACTTTTATGTTATTAGACAATATACCCTATTATTGTCCAACTCAAAGTAGTTCAATATATTTTTCTCAAGATATATCCTTCTGGAAATATATTTATTATTTCATGTTAAGTAAAAATTGAAATTATTATAATAATTTAAAACATTTTTTGACTTAGTGTTTTCTCACTCCTCAGTACTGTCTCAATCCACATATAGTAACGTATTATGTCTTGAACCATTTAATGAGAGAGCTCTAAAATGAGGGCAAATATGAAAGCATAAAAGGGCCAATTCCAATATTCATTTAAAGAAAAAATATCGATTAACATGTCATCTAATAGACCCATTTTAGTGTTGCAAGTGTTGACCTAACTCCCTACAAAATTTTAAAATATTATCAGAAACAGATCTATAAGAGTAATTTCCCTCTGCTTTGATCCCAGGAGTAACACCACTTCAAAATCCTCTTCCCTATTTTTTTTTAGATCTAGATCTCTTTTTCACTTTTGTTCAGAGAATCATTAATTATTTCATTTAAACGTCTTGGAGTATTTTTATTTTACAACCTCCTTTCTTAGTATATTAGTTTTCCTATTAAGGTAAGTTTATTTTAATCAAACTTTTTACACAGGGTGAAGTTTGATAGTAATTTGTTTGAGAATATTTGGATTTAACTGTTTTAATATCTGGTTAAGCATTTGTGCCCATGAAAGGCTAAATCTTCACTCTCTGCCTTCACACTCCCTAGAAAATCTCAAAGTAGTGGGAGTAAGGTTACAAACATTCTCTGATCCATTTCCAAGTGACACCATTGTTGTTTAATATTTTATTAATTGCCAATACCAGTCATTTCATCATACATTTGCAGAAAATCACAAAAAAACAATATAATATAATCAAATAACAAATAAATTTCCTCTATAAACAAATAAATGTTCTCAAGAAAAGTAAACAAATTAAGTCAAATATAGCAATACAATTATTTACACACAATATGTACAATTGAATTATTATTATTTGGCGTTAACAAAGCCCAAATAGAGAAAACATAATGAAATTTTCAAAATGACATTAGTAACTTCCCAAAAAAAAAAAAAAATAATAACATTACTTTGAAGTAAAATAAACATGTTCCGAATGTGACCAATATTTTTAAATTACCTATTTACTATTATAATTTTTTTTTCAAACATTATTGTTGATTAAGGAATGCTTGCCGTCACTTTGTAATATAAATTATATTGATTTAAAACAAAGAAATAAATTGCATTAATTATAATGCTAGCCATATAACTTCTCCATATTTATGCAGAAGTTATAGGATGCAACTGCAATTGCAAAAATTATTGATTTAAATTTCAATGTATTTTCATAAAATTTAACTAATTAATATTATAACAATATTTAGTTAAAATTGCAATTAATTATATGACTGTGTAACTATAAGTGGGTGTGTGTGGATTTATTAAACTATGTAAATTAGGTAAAAAGTGCAATGTTGATGTAGGTTTTAATCATAAAATGTGACATTTTTTTCTTTTTCAGTTTTGAAATGGTTTCGGATGGTAAATATCATATAGTTGAGCTTCTTGCAGTAAAAAAGAATTTTACCCTTAGGGTTGATAGAGGTTTAGCAAGATCAATTATCAATGAAGGATCTCAGGAATATTTAAGGCTCACCACACCACTTTTTATTGGTGGTGTTCCTCCTGAACCTGGCCAAAATGCTTTTACACAATGGCATTTAAGAAATGTTACTAGCTTTAATGGTAATGTTATAGATATGTTAAATATATTTGACCATTTATTATACACATATCAGTACAAATTTTATTATATTCTCAATTAAATTTTTTTTGTATTTCTATTACTTTTGAGGTTTTTTTTTTTTTAGTGCTTGAGATCATACTTTTTTATACTAAAATGTATCCATATTTTATATTTACATGTGAGATTGTGTTATGAAAAATTATACTTAAATTTAGGACAAACAATAAAATTTTGATTAACTTAAAATTAAATTCATAGGTTGTATGCGTGAACTATGGATAAATCACAAACTGGTAGATTTCACTAATGCAGATAGACAACAAAAAGTGACCCCAGGATGTACTCTAATGCAGGATGAAGAAGAAATGATAGAAGAGGATGGACAAATAAGAGACACTGAAAATGATGATGAAGATGATATGGAGATTCAAGATAAGGATCCATGTGTAAAAAACAATTGCAAACATGGAAGTACATGTGTAGCTAAAACTCCATCAGAATATGCTTGTAAATGTAAATTACCTGGATGGAGTGGAAAGTATTGTGAGCAAGGTTAGTTTTTTATTACTTTATGTGATGTTATACAAAAGAGTCTATAGATTTTAGACAGTTTGAACGTAACTCCTCATCTGCCACCAAGTAAATTAAATCTTTGCATTATCTAAAATTATTAAAAAATAAGAAAAAAGGCAATTCATCAAAATATTATTTACTAATTCTATTGATAATGCTAATTTTGATAACAACACTTATAAATATTTACATTAAACAAATCTTATTACTCTTATTATTAGTTTATCTCACAGATTAAAACTAACACTAAGCTGTGGAGATAGATGGCTTAGCACATTGGGGCATGGATCCCAGAGTGCCCAGTTCAAAACGTTGTAGGTTTGATTCTCACCTGGGTCAGTTGATATTTATTTTTCCGCAACCCGCAATGAATCTTAACATTCCCACTCTGGTAAGTACATGGTGGCAACTTCAAGGTAGCCATCAGGGGTTAACAAAAAAGACCACAACAAGGCCCACTTGCTGGACTAGTTCCTCCCACCAGTAACAGTACACCAGTAACACTAAGCTACTTTACTCTGAGGACATTAACTATTAATGAATTATTGAAGGAAGTTAGTCGACTGTTCTACATATGATAGGTGATAAATATTCAGGAAGCAGTCATTATACAATTTGTATTAGTGCCAACATTTCAACCCATACATGTGGGTCATCATCAAGACTAAAAAATTTTAATACAATCAGAGATATAATATTATACGACAGATAATAGTTAATAATAAACAATATAGTGATTGATGATACATGAAATAGTCAAATGAAATATGTAAACAGTTATACAAACTAAAAATAATGTATATAATCAATTTATAAAAAATGTAATATTTTCTCTTACTAACTATGTTTTGAGTACTAAAGGTATTTAAGTACTGACATTTTGGTAGGTAAGTAAAAGGGTCGATGGAGGATTTCCCAGATGTTCTTTTTCAGATAGCAAAAGGAAGGTTAACATAGTCAAGAGGGGAGAGGGGGATAACATTTCTGTTTGTAGGATGCAAATAATTTGTTGAGTAAATTATTCAAGATTTGCATTGTTTCTTATAGTTACAAAATTGGGAATATTGGCTAGTAATGAAATGAACATAAGCAAGAGGTGCCAATCAATATAAACATAACAGAGTTTGATTGAAGGTATACAATAGTTAGCCAAATAATACAGACAATTGTAATGGATTGAAATGATAATTAGGATAATATATTGTACAATATTTTAAGAATAACAATATTAATAATTATAGACTATTGTCTTAGAAGGTGGAAAATATTCTAATATGTATTGCAGATCTTTTCTTTGACTACTTTGTGGTTTACCGGATTATTTTTTTTCCAAATTAATGAATATAGCTGCTGAAAGTAGTTGTTTTTGGTGATTGGGAACTGAGGCAAATCCAACTATATTTGCCAACTATGTTTACAAAATCAAGTGTGTGGTTAAGTGTTATTGCGTGTTTGACTAGTTTCGAAGAGAGTGGGTTTCGTGTGGAGATGCTGTATTTGTGTTGATATATTCGTTTTTTTAGATAATTTTTGGTTTCTCCTATATAAGAAGAATTACAGTTTGGGCTAGAGCATGTGATATGGTATACTATACTTGGTTGTTGTAGGAGCAGAACAGGATCTTTGAGTTTGGTGTATAGATTTCTTAATTTACTGTTATTTTTGAAAACTGTTTTGTAGATGGGGAAATTTTGAAGTTAAAGCTTTCTTGATTTATTGAGACAGAACCGGGATGTATGGAATGGATCTGTATTGGCGAATCATGGGGGGAGATTGAGAGCAGTTTGTGGGAGAATGGTGAAGATGAGGTTTGGATTGATTTTTAATTAGGTTTTTTATTATGTGATCAGAAAAGGCATTGGATTTCAGGATCTTGTGTAGTTTAGTTAGGTTATTGTTGTGGAATTGCGGGTCGGCTAATGTTAGACTGCGGTGTATCAGGTTTTTAGCTACAATGATTTTTTGGTGTTAAGAATGTTGGGGAAAATAGTTTAGGAGAGGGTTGGAGTAGGTGTACCAATTTGTGGATAAGGTATTATCATTATTTCTGGAAATGAGGAGATCAGGAAATGGGAGGGCATTATTTGATTCTATTTCAATGGTAAAACGGAGTAGAGGGTGGTATGAGTTAAATGCAGAAAGTATGTTTGGAATAGCGTGGAGGGTTGAGGATTAATAAGAGATCGTCAACATATTTTTTAATGAAAAAAATATCATTGGGGAATTGGAGTAATATCGAGTCAATTAGGTTGTTTAGGACAATACTCGAGAGGTCTGGTGCAAGGCAATTGCCCATCATCAGGCCGGAAGTTTGATGAAAACATTTGTTTAGAACACATAGGTAGTGGGAGTTACAACATAGAGAGAGGGACTGAAGTAATGAGGATTGATTGAGGGAAGGGTGTGGTTCTATGGTAGACCAATTTTCTTCAATTGTTTGGAGAACACGGTCTGTAGGAATATTGGTGAAGAGACTTTCTGCATCAAAGTAGGCTAGGGAGTGCAAGTAATTTATCATTGTAGTCAGCGCAATCCATAACGACAGTTTTGTTACCTTTGTTTGCACGAGGGACAATGATTTGGTTGTGGAAGTTTAGAAAGGAGAAAGTAGAGGAAAGATCTTTTAGAAATGGTGATGAAAAAGGGGATGGTATTGAAGATGGGTGCTGGAGATGGTTGGTGATAATATTGCATGTTTGGTTTTGGGAAATAGTCCGTTTGTCATCGTTACAAATCAGGTTGGAGTCTTGATGGATATATTCTAGATTGGGTAAGGAGAGCTGGGACAAGGTTGCTGGATTGAGAAGGAGTGTTGAAATTTGGGCCAAAACTAAGAATATTGTTGATGTGAGGCGGAAGTTCGATGGAAGAAATGTTATAAACCCAATCCATATTGCCTTAATAAAGAATATAATGAATAAGAAAATATTTTTAGTGGTATTTTCGGAAGTAATAATTTTTTGTTTTATTGATTTGATGAGAAAAATGGTATCTTGTATGTGAAGGTTGAAGATGGATTTTTAAATGGATTGTGATGTTAAATTTAGAAAGGAGGTTTTTGTTAACTTTAATTTCATTTGTGTTGTTAATAATACAATTTGGAAATAATGAATGAGATCTGCATTTTAGGAGAAAAATTAAAGATTCTTCTTTATGTGCTAATTGTTTGTGTAAATGGAAAAAACAGTTTATAACAGATTTTTGGGTTTGTATAACTTTTTACATATTTCATGGATCATCAATCACTATATTTTTTATTATTAACCATTATCTGTCGCATGATATATCTCTGATTGTATTAAAAATTTTCAGCCCTGTTGATGACCCACATGCTTGGGTTGAAACATCGGCACTAATAAAAACTTTATAATGATTGTGTCCTGAATATTTATCACCCATTAACTATTAATGTATCATTAATCAGTCCTTTTTGATGTAATAATTGTTTCAAGGCTATTTTTTTATTGATTTATACATGATATTTACAACTGTATTAAAATAAAAATACATCTACTAAATGTGCACATAGAAATATAATGACATGAAAACACTGGTTGCTCTCTAATAACATATCTGCATAAGGAGATCATGAGGCCATCTTCTTTTCAGACACCTTGGAGGCCAAAGCTTTTATAAAATCCTAGCTAATAATGCAGTACAAAGACCACAGTTCATTCAATAATATCATTGAAAATAAGCATTTTGGGTTTACTTAATTTATAGTAAAAACACAACATAATACATTAACTATTTCACAAATTTTATAACTTGTGTCACCAATTTGCAGCCCTTTACAAGCAGTCATGAGATAATATGATCAATATTAGGGTGAGTGAACTTACGTAGGTTAGCTTCACTATTGTGGAAAAGGTAATTAAGAAGAATACCAAAATCTCTCTAAGCTTATATAAAATTTTATTACAAAACTACTCAACTATTTTTTTTAAGGGATGATTTTTTTTTACTGATTAGGTCCATAAAGATAGTTCATAGTTTTATAAATATTTCTTATACATTTAATATTCACTACAAAACTTTTAATAACTAAAATTTAATTAGTCCTTGCTATTTTTGTAGCACCTACATGCCGCAAAGAACAAACAAGAGAATTTTACTCTGAAAATGGCTGCAGGTCTCGAAAACCACTCAAATTAGCTAAATGTGAAGGAGGTTGTGGAGGTTCTTGCTGCCGAGTAAGAAAAACTAAGCGTCGTAAAGTTCGTCTAATTTGCCAGAATGGTAGACGTTACACAAAAGACATAGACATAGTGAGGAAATGTGCTTGTGCAAAGAAGTGTTACTAAATAACTTGCATATATTCTTTTTTGTGGCAAATGTCTTACCATTCTTCAAAATGCCAACAGTATTGCCTATTGACACCACTGCCATCAGTTTTTCTGTTATGTTTTGTAAATAATTCAATTTTTTTTATATATATATTTATATTGTCTTCATTTTTTTATATATATTTTGTATGTTTCATATGATTTGTATTAGTTTTTTAGAAAACAAAGTGTTTCTTCAAATCCGAAAATTTTAACCATGATTTATGATGATATTATGATCTCATGAATACATATTTAAATTACTTAAATGTTGTTTAAGAAATGAAAGTTTGTTATTGGTGTTTAAAACTTTATTATTACTAAATGTATTCTGTCACATGTAGATGATTTATACAAACAGTGAGAATTCACTGGTTAATTATTACTTATTTTAATGTATATTTCATTACTCTGTAAAAATCTAAGTCATTCTTATAAAATTATTAATAAAAAAAAAAATTAGAAAAAAGAAAAAAAAAAGTGATTAGTAATGTGAAGTTATTATGAGTATGTATAAAAAAGTGTAATAAAGTAAATGATTATATGAGAAGTTACTTCATAAAACCTGGTGCATTTCACTACTAGTGTTCAGGTACAAGGAATGTAAAAATGAGATGCACTGTAAACGTACATATAAGTTATATGTATTTTCCTTCAATGTTAGTGTATTTGTTGGGTAGGTGCAAAATTTATATCCTTTTGGTTGTATATATTTTATGTATATTGATGTACCTCATATACAAAGGATTTAGCAATTAAAGAACATTGTGGTAAACTATTTTTATTATTTTTCTTAGTAATTTATTATAGTAAACTATTGTTTAATATAATAGTTAATAATTTAATACAATAATTTTTGTATAATTACAATATATTATTCTTTAAATGGACTTACTATGATTGCTTGTGTCATCCAGTTGTTGTTAAAAGCAGGTATTGAAGCTTTGTTTTAGATCTTTAAGATGATATAAAAAAAAACAACTAATTTTTATGTATTTAAAGTTTAAAATCAAAGTTAATGTCAATAGTACAAAAATGTTTGTTTTTCCAAAGAGAAATGAGCAAATAAAAATTTGAGAAGTTAAAAGATTTGCTGCAATGTCCTTTTATTGCACAAGGTATAAATTCACTTTGCACCTACACATAGAAATATATGCACTGAAAATATGTATAGGAGTGTGTATATTGACTGAAATATGTTGTTGTACATTTGTGTTCATATTGCTTCTATCTTTATCGCCATAACTATTTATAATAAAACAAAATGTACTTTAGGTGTTTGATTAATTATAATTCTCCCTTAATATTCCTGTTGCACTCTTCAAGTGATGACTATTAATTTGAAATAGGAAGGATAAATAATTAAACTCAAAAAATCCTAAAGAACACATTTATTAACAATTTTCATTTACATCACTTATATGTAAATAACTAGGTAAAATAACTATATAGGTATTGAGGTTAAAATGTGTAAGAAAAAATAACATCAGCAATAATGTGTATATTAACAAAATGACTGAACATAAAGCCTAATAGATTCTAATAAAAGGAAGATTAAAATAAAACAAATAATTTTGAAAAATTTCTTATACGCCATATGAGTTCCCATCTACTGGAATTAGATAAAGTATACACAAAAAAAAAAAAAAAATTGCAACAACATTTATTTGTCTAAGTATTTGTTCTGGAATGTATCATTGTTAAGATAAAACATACTAATTTTTAAGTACATTGCCACATAAATTAATATCATCAAAATTGTTATACCTATTCAAATTTCATATTTAATAAAAGTAACAAACAATTTTGTTAAAATATTAGTTTAGTAAAAACTATGTATTGGATTAAGGATAAAAAAAATTACCACTCTTTTAAATGCACACAAATAAAAAGCTCAAAAGTGGCAATATACTCAGTAACATTAAACTTTGACAAAGAGCTTAAAACGGAATCGGCCAAATTTTGAAGAATTTTATTCTTTTCATCTACAAGTTTCAATATACATGCAAGCATTTGTTACCTTTGAAATACTATTCACTTATGAATCTGCATTTCATAATAGGAAGTCAGTTCTCTATTTACTAAATTACTAACCCCATTCAGTTATTCTTTAAAGAATGTTATTCCTCATATTCACATTTAATTTTTAAGATCATTTTTTTTATAATCAATAACCGAATAGTATTATAATTATATATAATGGGAATAAAAAGGAATGACACATTTAAATAAGTTCCTGATTTAAGCTCTCTATGCTCTTACTAATCTATAAATACATTACTTATAAAAACCTTACCATTGTTAACATTAAAAGTGATCTGGGCACTACTTGTTGGCTAATTATAAATTTAATATTGAAGCAACTCATGTACCTGATTTTTTTTTCTAACATTCAAGTGTTTTAGTCCCTACTTGTTCTGTAAATTAAGAATACATTTATTTGCAAGATACTAAAGATACTCTTGGAATCTGTTAAGATGTAGAAATTATTAGTTGTATATATCTGTATATCATACATTGTAAGAATAATTGAAAAAATAAAATATTTATAATGATCAATATGTTTTGATGCAATGCTATTTTCAAAAACTTGTCCTTTCACTATTTTTAAGGTTATGAATTTGCATGATCCAAATTATTTACAACTGTACAATATATTATTGTAAAACATTTGAAAAAAATATATAAATGTAATAATTTAATTATAATCCATGATTAATATTATTCATCAAAGATAATAATTTCAACAAATATTTAAAGAACTATTCAAATATTAAATTAATATTAGTGACAAGTAGGAACTGAACAAGTACTATTTTGTTACAGATGTAAAATCTTGTTTTTATCAGTTATTTTTTTTTTGTTTTTTTTTTTAATTTGCTGAATAAATAAAACTAAGTTTCTTTTTCAAACAATAGATTATTTTATTTAAATATATAATATATATGCTGAATAATATTTGTTATTATGTCAAAATATTATCAAATCTTGTGTCTGTTCAAAATATCACATTGCCTAAACATTACATAGCCAAACGTTACAGGTAAATGAGTTTAAATTTATTTACAGAACTTGGAAATTAAGCATTTTTCAAATGGAATATATTACAGTAATAATACATGTCCTGGAGGGATTGAGAATATACTACAAAGGCCAGTATGAATTCAAGTTAAAAAACTTCCCAAATCACAAATTTGGCACAGTATTAATTTTCATCGCTTAAATCATCAATAATAAGCATATATTTGTGAAAAATGTTACTTTAAGAAAAACAGTATAATCACACAGTTTATATACAAACACACATACACACCATTGAAACAACTCATTGCAACTCCTTATATCAAAATATTTTGAAACAATTAAATTATTTGTATGAAAAAAGAATACTTTCATGATTCACAATTATAAAACAAAAATAAGTACAATAACAACTAATAAAATACTTTTGAATTTATCGGTAACAGCAATTAAAGGTGCTAGAAAATTAATACATACAGTGCTTAGGAATTAAATTTTTTGAGGTACTTTAATGTACTATGTGGTTTATAGCACAATAAATATATAATTTATTCTTAATCATACATCAGTCCTCATAAAATTAAAATAATAATTAAAGTAAAATTCAGTATCGCCCACCTGGTATGATATATTTTCATTTGGTAATAGATTTGATTTAGCCAGGTAATATTTTTAGTTTGATCCTTTAAAACACTTTTCTTAGAGGCAGTCAGTAACATTAACTCAAGTAATACTAAGCTGCCAGAGATTTCTGAACAAAGGTACCATAATCCTTCATTAATACAGTGGCTAGCTGAATGTAAATGCTATTCAATACTATAAGAAAAACACTAATCTTAATTTCTATCAGAGATTAAAGTCTATTTAATATATTCATTCATATAAGACTCATTAACAATACTTCTATGGCATAAAGCTTCTTTCCTATGCTTTATATTACCTCCCATAATAAATTAGTTTAATTTGGGCATATAAAAACTGAATAACTGATGAGCATAAAGGGTTGCATAAGAACTGAACATTTTAATTTAAATTGCAATAAAAAATATATCTGCATTTTCATTAAATATTGGCAGTATCCGTGTCAAGAAATGAAACTTTCTAATGGAATAATCATTTCTTTAAACTCAAGCTTGCTATTCTTTCACAAAAATAATTATTTTAAATTCATAATACACAAAGTTATTAAATATATCAAAGATTAAAATTAATATTTTAATTTGAGTTTTACTTTTATTCTTTTTTCCCCATAAAAATATAATTATGAGAATGTTTAAGAATTTGGTGATATTAAGTACATAATGAGATCAACATTTTGGTTGCAGATGAACTTTATGTCTATAGGTCAAATGAAATAGACAATACTTTTCAAGTTAAATATTTAAATTAAATTTATACATACACATTAGTATAAGGGCTATTCACTGTAATATATTGTTTACCTGGCTAAATTATTTAATTAAAAAGGAATGAAATCAACCTCAAACAATCAGCAATAATATTTTTTCTTTCCAAATAGCTTACTATGTTAAACTTATTTTAAAGTATTTGTAGATTCCTATACTGCGAAGTGAAGCCCTCAGGGGATCTTTTTTATTTTTTTCCACTTGATAGGTTTAACAACACAAATATATATATATATATATATATATATATATATATATATATATATATATATATATATATATATATATATATATATATATATTTCATAATAAACACAAACACCAAAAAACAGTCCTTTCAAAGCTTAAATGCTATTATACAAATAATTCTTAAGACCTACTATTAATTAAGTACTTCTACTGATTCTTAAGTACATGGTTAGTTTCCCAAGGAATGTTTAATGCAACTTTTAGATTTAACAACACATAAAATGCACCTATCATGAACTATATTTACTAAAAAATATAATTCTTAATATTCATTCTATTCAATGTATGATAAAAATGAATAACATTTATCATACTTTAAATTAAATTTCTAGTATTAGTTTTCCATTAATAACAACTTTTACTTGGTATGCATTGATTTAACCAGAAATATTTTTTTTAAAAGTTGGAGTCTTGACTAGTATCTTTGCTGAAATTCATGATGCCATCTATTGAAATCTATATGGAACATCACAATTGATCCAGTTGCTAGACCAGCTAGTAAAAATCTGAAATACAAACAAATCCAGTGAAACTCATACATCAATGGTAAACTTTGTTAGATTGGACAATAAAAAAATTCATTATTTATTTAATTAAATAAATATTACTTAATTTAATATTATTATTTTTTACCTTACAGCTCAACATTGACTAATTAAAAGGTTATAAATATTTATTTAATGTACAATGAGGGTGGGTAAACAATATCTAAAAATATTATTTAAAACCAATACCATTTATTTTAATTAATACTAATGAAAAATATTTTTGTTACAAGTTCACTTATTAGTCTAAAATTTTCATAATATATATATAAAAAAAGGAAGTTTATATTCAATAAAAATGACTAACTAATGAAATATTTAATTTATTATTTATGAATAATGAATTAAAATAAAAATATGATTACAAAAAAGTTCTTTGGTTAATACATAAAATATAGAAAACTATGAATCAGAGGGTGGGTAATAATCAATCAGGACATCTAACCTTATACAGTGGAGATTATAACTACTTACAGTACTAAATTCCAAACAAAATTATATGTCATTATTATAATAATAAAATAAACCTTAATCAAACCAAACAATGAATGCCTATCTAATTAATAATCAATGCCACACTCCTATCTCGCTTAAGCCCATCTAAATCTGAAGATGCAAGGTCAGTTTTAACAGCATCTTCAACCTATCTATCAGTCTACCACCCACTCAGACATATGCCAGTGTTTTAGTGATAATAGCCTTTTAATAATAACAGGTGCAATTAAGTTGACCCTTATTTAATGCGATGGAAACTATTAAAAATGTAAACAATAGTAACCTTCTAACTGATTATAAGACACATACTCCCAACTCTGAAAATTTTCTACAAAAATATAACAACCTTCACACAAAAAATAGAGTGGAAAATCTCACTAAGTTAGAAATACCTATAAATTTAATAAATGTTTTAACATTAGGTGAAATTTTAGTTTTGAATTTCAAAATAAAGATAAAGGTATTTTAAACCTCATAATTGACTTAGAAAACATATATTACAACATATATGCACACCACGCCAGAAAACCATATAAATGCCACCAGAAATAAAATATGCACACTAATCAATAACTACATATCCAAAACAACCAAAACGATATCACCGATTAACACACTAATAAATAAAGATCTCATAAGCCTAAAAGAATTCATAAAACAAAACAAAGAGATAGTAATAATAAAATCAGACAAAAAACAAAAAAAAAAAGAACACTACAACAATAGAATGGAAGAATTACTCAATGATAAAAACACGTACAAAAAAACAAGAAACAACCCCTTAACAGAGCTAACAAACAAAATAAATAATTATGTACAAAAAATTCACAAATTAGATTACATAGACAAACTATTGGCAACTGACTCTACACCACCAGGAATACATGGACTAATCAAACTACATTAAAACAACAAACTGAGACCTATATCAATAATACATCAATATCAAGGACACAGACACAACAAATGACAAAAACCAAAACAATAATCCACAAATAAACAAGATATACAATAAAAGAATTTTTAACAAATGACAAACATACCACAGCTTACAAGCTAAATTTAAAAAGTTTTCATAAACTATGATATACCAGAGATCCAATTTGGTATATATAACAATAAAAAATTGGAAAAATACTTAAGATACTTAAGATCCTGCACAAGACTTGGAAAATATTATAAATTCCACCAATGAAGACACCCTGATGGGACTTCACACTAATGCCCATAACATCATATGGGGCAGCAACAATAACAACCACAGAGGTGAGATATTGCTAGACTTTATTATTAGTAATAACTTACACATACTCAATAGGGGCAAAAAACCTACCTTCTCTAACAAACTAAGATCAGAGGTCACAGACATAACGCTGGCCTCTAGTCAGGTTACATCAAAAGTAGATAACTGGCATGTTTCAGATGAGGAAACATGCTCAGACTATAAATATATCAGATTTGACTGGTATGACAACACCAAAATTATCGAGAAGTATAGAAACCGTAAGTCTACAAACTGGAAAGAGTATTTCTGATACCTAGAAGAGGCATGCAAATTCTGTCCAAAAAAAAAAATAAATAATACTTGGCAGCTAGAATGCCTCAATTCATTTCTGACAGATGCAATTAGAAACTCTTATCTGAGCACTTATGTTATCTAAACCAAGATATCCAAAAGCAGGGTATCCTGGTGGAACAAGGAATTAGAGAGACAAAAAACACTCACCAGAAGGTTATTCAATGCTGCAAAAAGGTATGGCAATTTTACAGGACTGCCCTCACAGAATATCACAAATCTGTGAGGAAAGCTAAAAGACAGTCTTAGAGGAACTTCTGCCAAGAAATTGACAATACTCCTATAGCAATTAGGATAAAAAAAAAAAACTTACTAAACAGAAAGACCAAGGAATACTGGGTACACTCACAGGCAATGGCAAACATACTAGTAATGAGCTTGAAACTCTGAGAGAACTGGCACACTTTCCTGGATGTAAGACTATGGAAAAGGCTTGTACAGACACTACACTTCCTACACACACTACACATACAGCTAATCAAGAAGTGTGAATTAAGGCAAGAAAAATTGTTACGTCAAATAGACTGGAATGGGCAGTAAACACATTGTCTCTCTACGAATCGGCAGGTTTGGATGACATCCTACCAATACTGATTTGAGCACTGGACAACTATATAACTAGATCTAAGGCTGTTGAGGATTGTGTGAGAATTCTCAATGACTTATCCAGACTTAATAAGGTAAACATTGAATGGGTTCCAGGTCACTCTGGAATTCATGGTAATGAGATGGAAGAACTAGCCAGACTAGGCTCACAAAAGATTCCCATAGCTCCTGAACCCATCTGTGGAATTAGACAGTGTCTAATAAAGAAAAGAATTGGAGAGATTTATGGTTCTGGAGCTAAAAAGAACTGGTGCTTGTAAAAACATACTCACTCTAGATTGTTCCTGGAAGGAATCTGTCAAAAAAGAAGCAACCTATTAATTAATCTGATCAGGAGCTCACTTAAGAAAATTACAGCGGTATATACTGGTCACTGTAAACTGAATTATCACATGTTCAATCTTTGGCTCACGGAGTCGTCTCTCTGTAGGTACTACGACCAGGAGGATGAAACAGCTTATCATATCACTTGTTGGTGTGGCAGGATTGCTGGACTAAGATTTCGACTATTCGGCATTGATAGGATGATTGATCCCAAGGCCAATGAGCTCATCAATCCAACAAGCTTATTACAGTTCACTGATACTGCAGGAAATACACTCTAAATAGGAGTGACTTTAATAGAGGCGTACAATAGGCCCTAATGGCCGCAGTGCATTCTTGCCGCATTTAAAAAAAAAAAAAAGTATAAAACAAAAATTTTGATGCAGCTAAAGTTTTTGTAAATATTCATATTACATAATAATTTATTTATTTATTTTAGTCTAAATTTTTAAATTAATATTTTGAATGAAGACCATTGTTTTTAATATCATTTTAAGTCATTTTGATAACGATTTCATCTTCGAATTCAATCAGGAGTGCATTTTCTCCCATTCTTCCACCAAATCATCCGCATAGCCAAGTACGGGTGTTATTCCACTCATATTCGACCCTTTTTCGATACGCATTACCTCCTTAATGGCATGTTCTAATGCCAAATTAAACAGGACAGATGAAAGAGTCGTTAAAATCTTTTTTAAAACCCGAAGAACTTCAACCTTTTCGGATAAATAATTACTGATCCTAACTTTATTGAGTGTTTCCGTCAAGCACAATCTAACTAGATTTACTAATTTTTTTGGAATCCCCTGCTTGATTAAAATATTATACAGTTTCTGGCGGTCAATAGAATCGTAAGCTATTTCGAAAGTGATATACAGCTGGTGAACAACGCAATTGGCGTAGGGAGGTGGCGGTCCCATCGCCCGGTCATTATACCGCAACCAGCCACTGGCCCTCCAGGTTGGGGGAACACTTACACGAACACACACACCAAGTACACTTTATACAGCACACTACAACACCTAAACACTACAGACAAAGGTCACCTACAGTACACACCCTAGGGTCACCTTCCCTAGGTAGCCGCCCCGGATGGGGGAGCTAGTCAGGATGCTTGGAGGAGGCAGCCCCTTTACCTGACTCGGGGGCAGTGGGCTGATAACCCACCCCCCCTAAAGTACCTTATTACGAAACCTCAAAGAGAAGAAGCCGGACTGAATTACGGTAACAGACCCAGGAAACGCCTAAATGACCTAAGAATTGGATTTTGGAACATTTTATCATTACATAGACTAGGAGCACTTCGTGCGCTCCTTGCAGAAGTGGACACATATAGAATCGACATAGCAGCTATCCAAGAGGTCCGATGGATAGGACAGGGAATTATGGAGAAGAAGTACCATACACTCTACTATAGCTGCCATGAAAAGCATCACGTCTTCGGTACCGGATTTGTTGTGAGAGGCAGAGCTCCACAGCTAGTGATACGATTTACTCCCATTAACCAAAGGTTATGCTACATTCGGCTTAGAGGAAAATTTTTTAATTTCTCTCTAATTAACTGCCATGCCCCAACAGAGGTGTCACCTGAGGAGGATAAGGAAACATTTTATGAAGAACTTGGACGCGTGACAGAAAGCTGCCCCAAAAATGATGTTAAAATCATTCTTGGTGACTTTAACGCCCAAGTTGGTAAGGAGGTGGCACTCATGCCGACCATAGGAACCCACAGCTTGCATAAGACCAGTAATGATAATGGGCTACGGATGGTGAACTTTGCTACATTGCATGGACTGGTTGTTGGAACAACTCTTTTTCCTCGAAAGAATATCCACAAAGCAACATGGATCTCTCCAAATGGGCAAACAACATCACAGATAGACCATGTACTCATTAGTGCCCGTCACAAGTCCAACATGATAAATGCAAGATCTTATAGAGGTGCAAATATGGACACGGATCACTATTTGAGCATTGCCGAGGTCAGATCACGAATTTCGCTGATTAAAAACCACCACCAACGACCAAAGAAGAAGATTGATGTAGCTAAACTTAAGGACTCAGACCACCAATATTCGTATCAACAAGCTGTGGAGACGAAACTTAATGAAGATGTAATTAATGACAGCTCTATGGTCGATGAACAGTGGAAGAGATGCAGCAACGCAATGAAACAGGCAGCAGAAGAATCTCTTGGCTACGAGACTAAATCTAGAAGGCCTCCATGGTTTGATGCTGAGTGCCTTCAAGCAGTAAAAGTGAAAAATGAAGCCTACAGAAAGAAGGTTCAGCGTCCCACAAGGCTCTCCCAAGAAACATATCGAAGAAAAAGACGCGAAGAGAAGAGATTATTCCGCGGAAAGAGAAGAGCTTGGGAAAACAAGAACATGGAGGATATAGAGGCATTGCGCGGCCAAAATGAAAGTCGGCTGTTTTTTCAGAGAATAAACGAGGGTAGGGCAGCTTTCAGGCCCAGAGTGACGGCATGCAAAGACACGAATGGATCTCTTTTAAGCCACAAAGATGACGTACTAAGGAGATGGGTACAACATTTTAAAGACGCATTAAACAGAGGAACGGTGCCTGGAGAAGTAGGAGTAATGAAGGAAGACTCCCTGAATTCTATTGAACCCCCGGATGAGGAGGAAATGGAAAATGCCCTGATGAAATTGAAAAATGGAAAGGCGCCAGGCCCGGACGGAATCCAGTCAGAGCTGTTGAAATGTGGAGGTGAAGAACTTAAGAAAGCTCTGCATGATTTAATGCTGACCATCTGGGAGAGGGAAGCTATGCCTACGGAATGGGCAACAGCCATTATCTGCCCAATACATAAGAAAGGAGATCAAACAGAATGCGCTAACTATCGAGGAATCTCACTCCTTTCGTGTGCTTATAAACTGCTCTCTAACATTCTTTTTGAGAGGATTCTCCCGTATTCTGAAAAGGAACTGGGGAAATATCAGGCTGGATTTCGAAGAGGACGCTCAACCACTGATCAACTGTTCTCTCTGAGGATGATCCTAGAAAAGACTATGGAGCATAAGGTAGTCACCCACCATTTATTCCTAGACTTTAAAGCAGCATACGACAGCGTTGATAGAACGCAACTATACTGTGCCTTGGAGGAGCTAAGCATCCCTCAGAAGCTCGTACGCCTAATCAAGATGACCATGGACAGCTCGAGATGTAGAATACGCGTCGGTTCTGACGACTCCGAAGAGTTTAAAGTGAGCAGTGGGGTTAGGCAAGGGGATGCCCTCGCCTGTCTATTGTTCAACTTGGCAGAGGAGAAAGCTGTAAGAGACTCCGGTATTCAGACCAACGATATAATCTTCAATCGCCTGACACAGCTTCTTGGTTTTGCTGATGATATTGACATAATAGGTAGGTCTGAACAGGCTCTCAGAGAAGCGTTTATAGGCCTTGAAGCAGCTGCAAGACCACTTGGTCTAGAAGTCAACGAGAGGAAAACTAAGTATATGAGAGTTGGTGGTGAGGTGGATCTGAACTCTCCATTTGAGGTAGGTTCTTTTAAGTTTGAGAGAGTGAAAAGTTTTATATACCTTGGGTCTGAAATTAATAGCAAAAATGACATGGCTCAAGAAATACAAAGAAGGATCACGGCTGCCAATAGATGTGTCTATGGACTTGGCCGACACTTAAGAAGTAGGTACCTCTCAAAGAAGACCAAGCTGATCATATACAAGACTCTTGTTCGGCCTGTTTTGACATATGGCTCAGAGGCTTGGACGATGACCAAAAACGATGAGATGAAGCTGAGTGTGTTTGAGCGAGGAGTCCTCAGAAGGATTTATGGTCCAGTAAAGGAGGGTGATGTCTGGAGGAAAAGAAAAAATAGGGAGCTCAGTTCTCTCTATGCAGACATCGACGTAGTCACCTATATTAAACTGGCCAGACTAAGGTGGGCAGGGCATGTGGCCAGAATGAGCACCGTTGAGATACCCAAGAAAATAATGATGGAGGAGCTGCACCTCGCAAGACGGGTAGGAAGGCCGAGGACGAGGTGGTTGGACAACGTGGCCTATGATGCGAGAACCCTGCTTGGTGTACGGAACTGGAGAGCTGCAGCAGAAGACAGAGCCAACTGGCGGAGGCTCTTGGAGGAGGCCCAGTCTCGGTAACGGGATGTCGTGCCACACATGAATGAATGAATGAACAACGCAACACCGTTGTATCCTAATTTTTCCTCCAACATTTGCCATTAAAAAAAATTTGTGATCAATAGTTGAACGGTTCTGTCTAAATCCGCATTGATAGTCCCCGATAATTTCCTTGGCATATTCCTTGATTCGATTAGTAAGGGTCAACATAAATATTTTATAATGTTGGAAGGAATTAATTTCCAATAAAGTTATTACAATCTGTCCTCGAGCCCTTTTTATGAATCGGAATAAGAATAGATTCTTTCCATTCTTCAGGCAATTTCTCATTCTTCCATGTCTTTTAACCCAGTAAATGTATTTTAAAAACTCTAGGAATATTACCGGTTCCCGCTGCTTCATAAGATTTTAGTTTTCCGATAGCTACTTCAACTTCTTTTATACTCGGTTCTTCTATTAACGGTTCAGCACTCTGGTACTCAGAAGAACACAGATCATCATTTCCCGTATTTAAAATATTGTCAAAGTGGTTCTTAAACTTATTTAATATGTAGGATTAAGATTTTAATCCACCTGCTGAATTCAAACTCCTTATATTCCACGTACCAATACCTAAATCCCTATTTTTCAACTTGCGCCATGAATCCCCCAAAGCAGTCCCCACTCGGAGACCCGAATGGGGAACTAATTAACCTCCAAATAATGGGCATTTTACCTTAGGGAGAACCATGACTATTTGTGGTGTATGGTGAACTAAAGATATGTGAGTAGGGCTTTCAAAATTATAGGCAATCAAATACGTTTGGACAAATAATATAGCAGTGGTCAAGGGCTGCATCCTTTAAGCTACACCCATTTAAGCACCCTTAGGACTGCACTGAAAGTTTGCATGAATCTGTCGATCAAAGCTTTCTGCACCCCAGCAAATGCTAAATGTTATACAGATATTTATTATAGCTCTGCCAGTCAAAGTAATCATTATAACAAAAATATATGCTGTTAGGTTAGAATCATTATTAATATGTTTAAATTTACCCCCCTTGCTTAGTAAAATATATTTCTTAGACAGCTAGAGAATGGATCACTAGTAAACTTGAAAACCATTACAATAATGAAATATAATAATAATCAAATTTAAAATAGTGTTCATACAAATCAATAGCAGCATGAACAAATCTTTTTAGATATGAATGATTAGTAATTAATGAAATCCTACTTACTTTTGATCATGTGTCAAAGCAAGAGATCGGACAGCACTATCGCATGCTGGGAAAGCATATAGTAATGATAAGTTGAAAGTGCGCCACACTTCAACTATACCTTTATCACCTCCAGTCATTAAATATTCTCCATCCCGGCTTAATAATAAGCACTAAAAATAAGAAGAAAATTATAGAAACTGATACTAAGTAAATAGCTAATAACTGTTAGTTGCTAAGGGTAAAACATTCATAAGTTGAAAAATTAAATTTACCTGCAAGTTGTCATTATGAACTTCATATCTCAATCTTTTACCATTGCTTGTAAACACTGCAACGTTTCCTTTTTCATAATTAACTACAATTATTCCTTCACGAGCCATTGCAATACTCTCTGGGCTAATGAAGCCAGCTGGGGCATCAAGGCAACGCAATAAATCCCCGAAGGTTGTGTGCACAAGCACAGGGCCATCTAATTGAAAAATTATTGGAAAAAATTAGTAAATAATTGTTAAGATTTACACAAATCAACAGATGACAAGTTAAATTTACCAATTGAAGCTGAAACAACAAGGCCAAGTTCAGCTGATATAACAACAGCAGTAACAGGCTGTTCGTGTCCAGTTAAAGTCGCTCTAGGAGTAGGTACATCACCTTCACCAACAATAGTTTGTGATCTCGCATTCCAATGCCATAATAATACAGTGCAGTCAGCAGAACCAGAAGCAATATAACAATCAGATGTAATATTACATTCAGATCTTGAAAGGCAAGTAACAACTCCGTAATGCCCAAATACTATTTGAACAATTTTAGCTAGAAGTGAACAAAGAACATAGTAAATAAAACAATATCTTATGTGCTAAAGTAATCAAATTATGTCTTTAGATAATAACAGAAATAAAATTCTAAAATAGCCTATAAATTCTATAACATTTAAATAAAATAAACAATCAAGATGATTAGAAAGTAAATTACCTGTTTCAGTAGAGAAAACTCTAAAGCTATTGTCCCAAAAACCACAAGCAACCAAAAATCGACTGTCCACTGTTGTCACAAAACAATTAGACCTCACCTTGAGTTTTTGACTAAAGTTGTCTCCTAAATGACGTTTTTGAGCCATGTTGGGATTACTGTTGGTTTGAACTAAACATAAAAAAAGTTAATATAATTTTAATTACAATTAAAACAATGGTATACACATTCAATGTATAATTAATTGAATGTGTTACTTAGCTTTAACTCATACATTCATGCTTATTACTTCTGTTAAACAAAAAAGATCACTCAACTGGACATCTTCCATTTGAATAAAGCTTAACCTCACTCTCTCTCTCTCAAATGAAATGATCTTAAATATAAAACCAATTCACATCTATCCTCTCATACACTATTACTGAGCAATTTATTGATGATTAATTTATTAACACTTTATTGACCAGAAATTTTAAACAGAAACTATGTCATGTCACTGGCTATTATTTAGTAATAGAATATGGAATAATATAAGTGCAATGATGAGTTAACTCGTCATCAGTCAACAATGTCTGGGCATGAAAAGATGAGTTAACTTGTCACCAATCAACAATGAGTTAATGCCCGTTAATTTACTTTTAAATAATTAATAGTTTTAAGTCCAATAAATTAATTAAGTAAGTAAATAAACATATTTCAGAAACAAGTCTTAAATATTCTTTATCTTATAAATAAAATAGGTTTCTGTTAACTTGTTTAAAGTTAATAATGATGGGGAGCACATGTCAGATGTGTTCTACAAAAAGCTAATCATTGTGGCTTGGTCAGTAAATAAATTGTTTTTAAATTTGATTAATTTTCAACTTTCAAGCATTAATTCTATAAAACTAAAGGTCAATATTGAAAATAAAAGGATGTAATTATTTTTATCAAGAAATTCACTGAAAGTAATAAGGACCAATACGTAAATCTATGGTATTTGTGAATAGTGGATTAAGTGCAATTTTTTGAACTTCGAGTTATAATTTTCAAACCCATTTTTTTTTTCCTCTTTCTTTGTGTCCATATAGCCATTAAACCAAATTACAGCAAATGGTATTTCCTCTTAGTAATAGACATATCACCATTATAAACAAAGAAATAGAATAAAATTAGGTTTCAAACTTATAACAAAAAATAATACCTAACCCACTCAATTACCAATGGACATAATAATTGTATGGAATTAAATAAATAAAAATTAAATCTTTCGTTAACTGAACCATCAAGTAAGGGAAAAATATTTATGTAACTAAATAAAAAAAAACATTTTTTTTAAAACTAGAATATCCTATATAAATAGGGAAGGAGCCTACTTTTCCCTCCAAAATTGAAAAGTACAGTATGCATGAAGCCACAAATGACAAAGGAACCAACAAAATGATCAACTTCATCAAATCACGAGGCCTACTCCTTGGTAGTAACTTATTCCTCCATAGAAGAATTGGAAGCCAAGATTCGGAATACTGGGTTTGATGTGTAGGGTTGTAAGGGACTGTATACAGATTAAGGGATTAGACCAGGTTTAATAAGTAAGTTTGATTAGAGGAAAGAAATAATAGGTTGGTATTGAAATCTCCAGTAAGAACGATATTAGTGTAGGAAGGGATCAGTTCATGGTCTTGAATGATTCATCAAAGGGCACTCTAGGAGGTCGATAGATGACACCAAAAAGTAACAGATATGAAGAGATGGATATTTCAGCAAAAATATATTCGATATGTGGAGAAACGGAAAGGGGAGACCAAAACAAGGATTTTTGATTTCAGAATATCGTGGACATAAAGAGCTACTCAGCCACCACTTCTATTTACTCTATCCTGACGGAATAGGATATAGTTAGGGAGTGAAACTTCGGAGAATGAGATTGTGGGTTTCAGAGACAACGATCAGGCGGTAGAAGTTGTGGAGGAAGAAATCGTGGAATTCATCTATGTGGGCTAAAAGTAACTGTGCGTTGACATGACAGGATAATATAGCATTATTCATAGGATATGGTATATTGGGATAGTGAATCGGTAGGAGGGAGTGAAGATAAGGAAGTAATTATGTTGGATTGATCAGAGATAGACTGGAAATATTGAAACCGTAATAGACTACCCATAATAGATAGAAAAAATAATCTAGATAGTATCCTATAATTAGTGGATATAAAAACAAGAACACAGTAAGTCCATATAAAAAGAGAACAAAAACTTACTCTGGTGAAAAATGAGTAATAATGATAATAAAAACAATAATAAAACCAATTACAATGTAAATAATAAAACTGATAAAAATAATTATTTCTCCTGGGGAAACTAAAATATTCATATAAACAAAAGTAAAGGAAAAATTAAAGTTATAAGAAATAAATAAACAGAAAAAAAGTAGCTGAAAAGCGAGAGGCTATGATGAAGGAACAAGAGCAGAGAAGTCAAGAGAAAACATCAAGATCAAAAGGTGAATTTACAACAATTACTGGCTGACCGTCAGTTTGCCGGACTTCACTTTGCCACAACCAAACCAAATATATTATATTTTTTCGACCCCTTTCTTTTTTCTAGCTAGCTAATATAAGTGTTTATTAGTCAAAATCATTGCTTCACCGATCAAGATTTTGTGGGCATCATTCTCCTGCCAGCCCAAGTGGCAAGTATCATTACTTTTTGTTTATGTATTAATTTGTTTCTTAAAGACTGCCATACAATGTTGACTCAGACCAGTACCTCATGATAGCGATAATCGAAGCAAAAATCTCTGCCATACAAAATTGAAAAGTTTTCTATGAATCTAGAAAATAAATAGAGGGCTCAAAACTATAACAATGATTTAAAGCAAATATGAGTTTCTTACAAAGAAGTCATGATGAGAGCCATTAATGAAATTAAGGGTGAGGTTTTTCCATTTCAGAATTTACATATCAACATATGACACAGGGAAGAACTGTGAATGTTATGAAATTATTGTATACCCAATATTAAAAAAAAAAACAGATGTATAAGAATGCTCTAAATACAGTGGAATATCACTGCTTTTAAGTACGTAAAAGATCTGAAGGATTCTGTTTGAGAGATTTCTATCCTTTGTTTGAATAGAAATAGGTCACTAATAAACAGAATTCGTGCAAGGGAAGTCTACCAAAGACAGATGTTCTCTCTGAGAATCTTATGAGAAAGAGTAAGAAAATTCGAAAATTAACACCTTTCACTTATTCATAGATTTCAAGACTGTCTGTGATTGTGTTTCCAGACAAGGAGCTTCAAGAGAGAATGCTAGAGTTAGGGATTCCACTGAAACTAATTTGTCTGGTCTATATGACAATGAAATAAATGAAGTGTTGTCCAAGTACAAGTCCAGTGAGGCAGATTAGAAAGATTTTACACACTCAAAGGACTCACAAACAGAGCCTGGCTTGCGTTCTTTCTAACTTCATACTGAAATTTGCTATGTGGAGATCCAACAGAGAAATTAGAGGAACAGCATTTAAAAAGTCAGTTGTGATCTAAGGATTTGTAGATGCAGTCCATGTGGTTAGGAGGACTTATGAAGCAATACGTCCATCCACCTCGATCTACAAAGAGAGACTATAAGAATAAAACTCGCTATAAATACAGCAAAGAGTAAATACATTTATGCGAAACCTAGTGGTGGAGGCCAGTGAGATGTAAAATAGAACAATTGGTAGTGGCCATCTATAATGATCAAGACTAGATACAATGCACCAATATAGATTTAATGTGGTCTGTAGTGTGTGATTAAACACTTGAAGATAACTAACATTTTTTCCCATTTTAATGATATTATCAATATTCTTTAAGTATTTAAATGATACAATAATATTAACAGAAAAAACAAAACAAAATGCTATATTATAAAAATTTTTATTGTAATTAAATGAAAATGTCCATTAGCTAAATCATTACTATAATATTTTTTTTTCGGTTAGTTTTGCTTGTTTGATTAAATTTATACTTCTTTTTTTCTATGAATGGATATGGATGTTAATTTCCTTTAAAATTATTGTTTTTGGAGATGAAAGTTGCTAAATTACTTTATGGTTTTAAAAGCTGAAAGGTGAAATTTTTGATAATTTAGTATGTATCAAAAATTTATTTAGTACTATTTTAAGAGCAAAAATAGTATCTCTTATCTTCAAAAATGAAGTAGCAGGTCAGTTTTTAGTATCTACTGAAAATTTATGTATTGAGAATTAGTCCCCTTCACATCTTGATGATTCAATTGTATCTTAATAAAATCAATTACATTATTTTCTGTTTAAACAATAGCTTTTCAAATCTAATAAAGATAAAATTGGAAGTAAAAGTACTTACATAATAATGGATCCATTGTCAGTGGTAAATTTGTATTTTGATTTTGGGGGGCTTCAGCATAACTAGGAGGCTGGACCGTAGCTAGAAAAAATGTTTTAGCATATATTAAAAGTTAAACAAAAAATTCATATATTGATCTCTGTCTCACTCTCTCTCTCTCTCTTTCTCTCTCTCTCTCTCTCTCTCTCTCTCTCTCTCTCTATATATATATATATATATATATATATATATATATATATATTAACATAATTATTTAAATTAGTAAATAAGTCATTAAAGACTGATAGTTTCTTTTGTGAAGACTGCAACTTCCGGTTTAGCAAAATTCATTGCTGGCATTTTATACTAATCAAAAATAGAAAAAGATTTGAATATAAAAAAACTCATTCGAATTATAAAATCACATTGAAAAACAAAAGATACCAGTTTATAAAAAAAAAAACAGATTTAATAACCTAATTCCCAATTTAAATAATTATGTTAAATATAATAATCAAAGTTTGTTTGGAGAAATTTTATAAAATTACATATATATATATATATATATATATATATATTTTTTTTATATAATTTTTTTTTAAACTGGCAGGAAAGGGACCCATTTCTCAAATGAATTGAGACGGGTAATGAACAATGGATCATCTACAACAATGTAGGGCGCAGGAGATCGTGGACAACTGCTGACAAGCTGCTTAATGCCACTACCAAGAGTCGGCCTACATCTGAAAAAGTTTTTTTATCCATATGGTGTGATTATCGTGGCATGCGGTTTAACGAGCTTTTTCAAGGAGAAATGATTGATTCGAAGATCTACCGTACCCAGCTAATGAAATTGAACCAATCATTGCGACAAAAACGCCCAGAGGAAATCACAAAGATTTTGTATTCCACCATGACAACGCCAGACCACACTCTGCAATAATCACACAGCAAAAGTTAGTACAACTTGGCTGGGATGTTTTATTACACCCACAACCGGACCTTGCTCCATCCGACTACCACTTATTCCGTCCTCTCCAAAACACTTTCAATGGGAAATCGTTCTCTGATGAGAGAGAGATGTGAAAACGTATCTCGATCAGTTTTTTGCTTCTAAGTCCTAGATGTTTTAAGAGAGCAGAATAAGGAAATTATTAGAGAGACGGCAAGACCTGATTAATAAAAATGGCAAATGAAAAAATAGTATGAAAAAAACTTGTTGATTTCATCCTTCAAATACGGAACAAACTTATGGATCCACCCAATATATATATATAATTATTTTATTGGGAATAAGGTCACTTAATAATTATTCAATCAACTACTAAATGTTCATTGCTTCTGTGTTTATTCGACGTTTCGATCCTGTTTTTTTATAAGTTAACAATGGAATCCTCTTCAAAGTTTTAAAATAGAGCCTCGATGCCTCGATACCTCAGGCCAGAAACAAACAGTCTCAGCACCGTCCACCAGCACAGATATTAAACTACTTAAGAGTAGGTTATACTTTTATGTTACTTACAAGTTAAGGAACATACCATAACCTTTTTTTAATAGATTCTCATATTTGGATTGAAAATGAATTTTCAAATGTCATGATAAAGTTGTTTAAATAAATATAGAAAGACTGTCAAAGAGCTATGGATAATATTTAAATATTTTTTGAGGTCCTGATGATGAGGCATGGCTTAGAAACATTGAAAAAAATATAATGATAACAACGATAAAATGACAAAAAGAAAAATTTAATTACCCTTAATAAAATAGTACTTTATCCATACAAATGTCTAGACCTAATCATGCCAAAAACTGTTCATAGTTCATTTGTTGAAATGTTTTCTAAATCTTATGTGGTATTGACCTGCCACTGAATAATGAACATTGAGAAAAATGTAATAATACATATTACAAATAAAATGACTCAGTTGTCCTCGTGACACTCAGTGTATCCAGTTCAAGCATGAATTCTTCTTTAAAAAAAACTGTATAGTATTTCCAATAATGGTAAGTGTATCTCTATAGTTTATAGAAAGAAATTATAAAATTACACTGCATATGAAAGTTCATTGATTAATAAAGTTAATTTAAATAATTCTAATAAGGAAACTATTCCATTAAATTAACTTCTCATAAAATAATTATATTACATGGAGATTTCTGCATCGGTGCTGAGATCAACCTCAAATCAGTAATTAACCATTGAAAATAAAAATAATAATCATCGTAAATTCCTTGTTATGTGGATTATAAAGAATTTACATACAAATAAATATTTTATTGTTTTGAAAATACACACATAGATCAATTATAGATATTAAATTTAACAATATTACTTTATCTTAACATGATTACAGAAAGTTAAACTCACCAACATAACTAGAGTTCCATCTGTTTACAGCAAATTGATGATTAGCAGTCACTGTAACTACAGATGGTAATGGTAACTGTGGGTAAGTGTTGGCAGAAATATGGCATATTGCTGAGTTTGATGGAAACTTCATGGTCATACAAATATCATCCGGAACAGCAGTAAACATCATAGGACTCTAAAATAACCAAAGAAATTTAATGAGTATAGTCTAATAAAATTGACATTATTCAATATTATAAAAATAAATACATACAAGATGCATGGCTGAGCTCCTTGGAGGATGAGGTTCCATAAGTAACTGAGAAGGTGTTTGTCCAAAGTTACGAATTTGATTTTCGATTGCTTCACGCATCAAGTGATCGGTGATTCCGTCCATATCGACACTGCCTTCATATGTCAGATAATAGAAAACATTGGTGGCTCGAACTGCCTCTGGTCCTAAGCCAAAGAAATAATAGTAAATTTATTTTCCCTGGCCACTTATCATACGTGAATATTAGACTGATTTTTAAGCAAAATATTTATTTATAAATCTCTAAAATCTCTAATAATTAATAGTTAGGCTGACAAGTCCTTTTGGTTTTTCTTGAATAAACAAAACCTTTTTTTTCTATACAATTTATTTAAATTTAAATTGTGGTAGTGTTTGGTATAATTCGCTAACATATTTCCAGTAACTCATTACTACCATGTTAATAGGAAATATTAAGGTTCATAAAAAAAGAAAATATATGTAGGCCCTCCCCCTCCCCCCCCCCCCGCTCATCTCTGGTCTGGTCCCAGGTACTAAATAGGAGGCTGGGCCGCCTTCCATGAGGGTAATAATAATAATAATAAGGCTTAGCGAACCCGAAGGTTCGATGCCGACACCACCAATCGCTTGTTACACACCTCCCTCCACCGTTCGCCGTCCAAACCCAGTCCCTTCAGATCGGCTTTAATGCAATCTTCCCACCTTCGCTTCGGTCTACCCCTCGGACGCTTACCATTCGGCACAGCAAATATTAACCTTTTAGGAATTCTCTCGTTACTAAGCCCAACAACTTTACAAGCCCATTTGATTCGCCGCGATGAAATTACCTCAATTATATTACCCGGATACAGCTCACGCAATTCGGCGTTGTGTAACCGTCTGAACTCTCCGGTTAACTCATCCTTCTTCGGTCCGAATATTCTACGCAATACTTTATTTTCAAAAACCTTAAGACGCTGCTCATCCCTTAATGTAAGCGGCCAAGTTTCGCATCCATAAAGAACTGTAGGCAAGATAATTGTTTTATAGATTCTAATTTTTAAGTTTCGGGACAAGAGGCGCGAACTAAGTAGTTTTGTCACAGAAAAATAACAAGCATTCCCCGCCTTCAGTCTAACCTTAATCTCTTCTTCAATTTCGTTTTTTCTAGTTATCGTAGAACCTAGATACCTAAATTTATCTACCTGTTCAAACATATTACCATCTATATCGATATCACCAGTAGTATCGCCATTTTTGCAGCTAACCATATATTTTGTTTTATCCACGTTTATTTCGAGTCCTAGTTCTTTACCGGCTTTCATTAACGTTGTCGTATTTAGTTTTATAGTTTCAACGTCTTCGCTTAACAGTACCAGATCATCAGCATAGCCCAGCACGGATGTTGTCCCGCCCAGATCCAACCCTTTCTCGGTTCGCATTACCTCCCTAATGGCATGTTCTAATGCCAAATTGAACAGGACAGGCGAAAGAGAATCCCCCTGTTTTAAGCCCGAACGAACCTCAAATTTTTCGGACAAATTATTACCGATTCTAACTTTATTGAGTGTCTCCGTCAAGCACATCCTGACTAGATTTACTAGTTTTTTTGGAATCCCCTGCTCGATTAGAATATTATACAGTTTCTGGCGGTCAATAGAATCGTAAGCCTTTTTAAAATCTATATACAGCTGGTGAACAATACCGTTATACTCCAATTTTTTCTCTAATATTTGCCGTAAAGAAAATATTTGATCAATTGTCGAACGATTCCGTCTAAATCCGCATTGGTAGTCTCCGATAATTTCCTCGGCGTATTCCGTGATTCGACTGGTTAAGATTGAAGTGAATATTTTATAACATACCGGAAGGAGTGAAATTCCTCGATAGTTATTACAATCCGTCCTCGGACCCTTTTTGTGAATCGGAATAAGAATAGATTCTTTCCATTCTTCAGGTAATTTCTCGTTCACCCAGATCTTTTTAACCAACCGATGTATTTTAGAAACTCCAGCTTCCCCGCAGCCTTAATTAGTTCAGTAGGAATATTATCGATTCCCGCTGCTTTATATGATTTTAATTTTCCGATAGCTACTTCAACTTCCTCTTTACTTGGTCCTTCTATTAATGGTTCAGCACTCTGGTACTCAGAAGGAGGACACAGATCATAATTTCCGTATTTAAAATATTGTCAAAGTGGTCCTTAAACTTATTCAATATGTCAACCGGATCGGTCAGAATATTGTTATTATCATCCCTAATTCCAGACGTTACGGGCCCTACATATTTACGTGATCTGTTTATACCTTTGTACATGTCTCTTACGTTATTTTCGATTCTATTAGTTTCTATTTCAATTATTTTATTTTTAAGATACTCCCTTTTTTTATTTTTGAGCAATTTTGTCGTTTCGTTCTTTGAGATTCGGAAGTATTCCAGATTGTCTTCGCTAGGATTATTTAGAGCTTTTAATTTAGCGGCTTTTCTTTTTTCACACATGTTTAAGCAATCTTCATCAAACCACGGTTTGTTATTCTTATTTTCCTTTTTTCCTAGACACGAGTTACCGACCGCTTTAATATTATCCCTGATCTCTATCCATAACTTGTCAATATCCTCGTGGTCCTCGTCAGGAAGCTCTAAAGCTTCAAACCTATTCTTAACATCTAGCTCGAATTGGTTTCTAATTGATGGATTTTTTAATTTTTCCAAATTAAAATTCTCAAAATCGAAACGGTTTTCTTTTCTCTTTTTTATATTAAGTTTTTGTCGAAGTTTCGCGATTACTAATTCATGATCCGACCCACATTCTGCTCCGCGATAAGACCGTACATTAATTATACTGCTTTGCCAGCTATGTTGTATCAAGACATGATCGATTTGATTTCGTGTTTGCGAATCCGGTGATGTCCAAGTATATTTATGAATATCCTTGTGTTTAAACGTCGTACTTTTAATTATCAGGTTTTTCGAGATGGCAAAGTTTATCAGACGGATCCCATTATCATTACTATATTCGTGCAAACTTTCTTTACCAATCGTCGGAATATAAACTTCTTCCCTTCCTACCTTTGCGTTCGCGTCACCTACAATTATTTTCATGTAGTTTCGCGGTAGTTTATCATAAACCCATTCGAGTTTATCGTAAAATTCACTTTTGACTTCATCGTCACTGTCTTCGGTCGGACAATGTATGTTTATTGATGCGATTTTAAACCAACGTCCCTGAAATGTAGCTACCGAAATTCTATCACTAAAGAATTGTACGTCCCTCAAAGCAGATAGTAATCTACTCCTAATTAGAAACCCGGTACCCAAACAATGATTCCCGCTTCCTCCGTACCAAATAGTGTACTTTCCTTCCCTCATCGAGCCCTCCCCTGGCCAGCGAACCTCTTGCAGAGCCACGACATCCAAATTGTACCCATTCACCTCATTCGCGACCGATTTTAGCCCCCCTGCTGTGTTTAAACTCCTTACGTTCCACGTACCAATATTTAAATCCCTATATTTCAACTTGCGCCATGAATCCCCTAAAGCAGTCCCTACCCGGAGACCCGAACGGGGGACTAGTTTACCTCCGAATAATGAGCGTTTTACCTTAGGGAGATCCATGACTTTTTGTGGTGTTTGGTGAACTAAAGATATGTGAGTAGGGCGTCCATGAGGGTAATATGTGTCTAAATATATCTAATGATATTTTATATTTCAATATACAATATTTAACTATCAATAAAATATTAATTAAAAAATCTAACAGTTTATGGGGTCCAGCAAACCCTCCTCTCTCATTTGGGGCAGTGCTTCATGTATTTTATATACTTTCTATAATGACATGCTATTCTTAAAATTTTTGTAATTAATGGATTCCTGCAGATCCTGGAATAAACTTTGATCAAAGGAAAATTGGTAAATACTATATCCAAAAAAAACTTTTTTAATTAATAAGGTGTAATGGTGTTTTGACAAACCCTTCCCTTCTAATTAACAAGTTAAGGATTTCTTTCTAAAATAGAAAGACCTAATCTCATCTACTTGCAAACAGTTTACTATTATATCAATAATCATGGCAATAATTCTAAACATTATCCATTCTGAAAGCTCAATAGTTTGCTACCTGTTGAATTAAAAAAAAATGCTCAAACCAAAAAGGTTAAAAACTTAAAGCTGTTTAAGACTGAATCTTTTAAATTTATTGTATAGAGATTGAATCTCATTTCATAACTACATTGCTTTAAAAAAGAGATATTTAATTTTAAAAATTCCGAAATTTCAATGATTTTTAGAGCACTACGGTGAATCCACGAGTCTTTAAATGTCAAGGAATTATTTTATAATTTTTTATATTCACTATAAACCAAACATTACATAAAAAAAAAAAAAAAAATACCTGACCTTTTGCAAGGTAACATTTCTTATTTGACTGAGCTATTAAACAAAATAGTTTTAACAATGCAATCTGTTAAGAAATCTTCCCCATATACTTAAAGAGCTTTAACATCATGCTTTTTTAAAAGCAAGAAACTAATCTTTGCATTTTTTACTTTTAAGTGTAATTAAAATGAAATTCATTTTCTTGGCCAGAGAAGAAAATGCATTCCATTTTAATTACACTTAAAAATAAAAAATGCAAAGATTTGTTTAGACATTAAATTTAATATATTACTTTTTTTTTTTTTTTTCGGTTGGCGCTACAGACCATGAACATCTTTGGCCACGAAATGTGGTTTCCTTACAGATGTAAATTGCTTGTGAGAGCACAGATAGCCTGGAGTGGGTCACCCAGCCTCACGTTACTATGTGGTCTCCATGGTGCAGAGGCAGGCCTCGATAAGGGAACTACTGACATCCTGGTAAACCACATCCCAATTCTCGATTTAAATATGCAGGGTAGGGTCATCAGTCCTATGGCCAGTCGGTGTAAATTGTCTTAAGTAGGCTGGTGAGCTTCACATACCCGGGGGGAGGGAGAGAGTCTCAGGCAGCATGGCTTTTCCTGGTGGCGGTCACGCAAATCGGACAGTTACCCATTCAAGTACTTACCACACTCAACATTGCTCAACTTTGATTACCTATTGCAAGCTCCTTAGCCCGTACGGTTACCTTTCCCATATATATTAAATATTAAATAGGATAAAGAATCCACTCGCAGAACAAAACTTATAGACAATAAGTTCCCAATATAAGAGAGAAAATAAACTGAACATTCAAAGGGACTTATATTCTATTACAATAATTATCATAAGTAAACAAATATGTAATAAGTTTGTTATAATGAATAGTTTTGGCAACTATTTTTTTACTTTCACTTACCTATATATGTAATATATAGTAAGGGTCAGTGTTGCGATCGAGAAAATTTTTGAATCTCAGTTTTCAATGGAAATACACGTTTCCAGGTCCCCTGAATCCAAATAACCAAGTCCCGCAAAATGGTTTGTGTGTGTGTCTATATGTGTGTATGTATGTGAACAGCCTAAGCTCACATACATACACACATATAGACACACACACAAAAAAGCCGTACGAAACTGAAATTACGTATTTGAGGTTTTTATAATCCTTGGATGTTTCAGCAACATTTTTGTCAAAATCGGCAAACCAAAAGTGGTACTTTATATAATCGATTTAACACATTTCTAAGATTTTCTAAAAAAAAAAAAGCTCTACCGATTTTGATTAAACTTAAGGGCTTAAATGGCTAATTTTCAGTATTAGCTTCCTCTAAAGTATCTTTAATTTTTTTTAATTTGAAATAATTAACCATTTCACAGTAATCTTTGATAAAAAAATAGTAAAATATAAAATAAGAAAGAATTTGATAATCAATTAAAGGTGATATAAGAGATCGTAATACCTCTCTAATATAATACGGACTCCGACAATATCATGTATATATACATATGTGGTTTTCATAAATGCTATCTTTGGTATTATTTAATATTTAATTGTATAGAATACATCAATATAAAAATTAAAATTTGTCTGTATAAGTGTATTTAAAAAAATAAAAATATCCACAATGAAATGTAAATAAATATAGCATCTATAGTTTTTAATTTCTCTTCCTCTTTGTCTGAAAATACTTATTTCTGCTAAGAAGAGGGTGGTAAGTGAAAGTCGTGTGATGTTAGATTTCTAAAATAATTTCTTTACAATACAATTTCCTTATGTAAAGAAATCATATCAGGCCTATAAGGCCCAAAATGTTGATAAGTGGATATTGATAGTAACATGAGTTTTATTTATTATGCACACACAAAAATTATATAATTTATATATAACTGTAATTTAAGAAATGCTAAAGTTTAAAAAAAATACCTCTTTGTTTATATCCGAATATAAGATCAATCCACTGGTGTAACTGGCATGAAACAAATTCAGATTCCAAAGCCTGAAAAAAATTAAGCGAAAATGGTTACAAATAATAATTTTTCCATAATATTAATCATTATGTTATGATTTTTTATTAAATAATTTACATACCATTCTATTTATTCTAATGAATTCTTCAGGAGAAGAAGCCCATGGTGGTAGGTCAACATTTCCAACACACGTACCATCATCTTGGTGCCCAAGTTTGTAATTATTATAGTTAGTTAGCATTTCTGGCAGGAAAAATAATTCTGGAATGAGTTCCTGGAATAAAAAAAAAAACAAGGTGAAAACAATATATAAGCAGTAATACTGGGAATATTTTCCAATTAACAAGGACTTCTGCAGTCGCTATCTACATAAAATATATTTATGTATCCAAATAATTTAAATTTAACTTCTTTTTTGGTGTTAATGCACTATGGTATTAATAGGAATATTGAGTGAATGAATGAAAAATAATTTTAGTCTGGGACTTCAGTACCCTTGGAATAATAGCAGAGTTAAAAAAATATATACGTCAGTCAGGCATGTAAATATAATACAAATATATACAAAAAATACAAAGATATACAAAACACAATAAGAAAAAAATGTGTAATTTTTCAGTTAAACTATGTCACAGTATCATTACTCATGACCTTTTCTTTTTACATTTGCAAAATTATTTCGTTGTAAATAAGAAAGGCAGTATTTTGTCTGAAAATATTAAAAGAAGAAATGATTTCAAATAAATTACCTTTACATCTGACGTGTCTCGTTGACAATTTTTCCATGACAAGGCAATAGAAGAAAATAGACGATTTGGATGGTCAAATTTTCCTCCTTGTAAAGCAAGAAACATGGTGGTAAATGGCTCCTTTAAAAAACAAAACAAAAAAGGTTTTTCAGCAGTGAGAAAAAATAAACACCATGAAATAATTATTTCATTAGATTATTGAATTATTTAACATACCACTCTTATCATCCAATTCAGAACAAATGCTGCAGTAGAATAATGTGTTCCATAGTGAAATGGTGGAATGCTATCATGTTCCCAGCTATTGTAGCGTTCTTCAAAATAGGCTTTTCGGCTTGGGTTCAAGGCTCCGATTGGCTAATCAAAAAGATCAAATGATGCACACATTAAAATAGTTTAATCCAACACAGAATATTCAAATATTTACAAGATAATATACATTTTAAACTTACCTTAGACAAATCTCGGTAATTTGCAGGTAAACTCAAGTCTAGATCTTTAGCTTCATAATTAGTAAGCACCCAAGGGAAAACTGGATACTGATTCAGATCATTATAGGTTCGTCCTAAAAATTTGTTGTTATATTTAAAATACATATTACCAAAGTAATGTTAATATAGAAAATCAAGTTTTATTGAACATTTTTTTAAATTACTAATATCATATCCAAGAGTTGATAAAAATATATATAGAATTTTTTCCGAATTGAAATAACCGTGTTACTAAGATAAAGTTATAAGTGAAAAATGGAGAAGTTTTAGAGAGCAAAAATATTGCAAACAAGAATATTTTGTTAGAATTTTGTTGTTCGACTGGGAAGTGTAGATAACTAGACAGCGCAGAACTGTGAATGCTGGGTCTAGGAAATATAACAAAGAATAAAAAGACACTGTAAATCACACTGGGTGAACGAATATATAATAATTTTTAACTAACTATTTTTAGTTAAAGTGTTTTGATTGCTAAACTGACCAAAAATATCGTATAGAATGAGCCATAAGTAGGAGGAAAAAAAAGGTAACAAAATCCTCACATAACACCTAAGTAATGCTTGGTGTTTAAAAAAGTAATTAATATGTAAAATTATGAAATTCTTTGTGTTCAAACTAAATTAAAGAGAAAAAAAATCTATATTGCATGCTAATGTGCAGACACTTTAGGAAAAAATTAAATCTTATTTAGACTTTAAATTTCTAAATAGAAGTAGGAAAATGTGAAGGAACTCAGCAATGTTAATCACATGTTTCCAGAGTTTGTGGGCTAAAAAATGTAAATAAATAAAGAATACAAATTTATTTTAGAAAATAAACAACTATAGATATATTTATTAAATTGAAGAAATTAAAATTGAAATTCACGATAAATATTAATAAATATTGAATCGAAATATGCTTTTGAAATGAACTGAAATTATAATATTGAATAATAATTACAACCATAACATTTAACCTTTTAATTTCATTGGTTGGAACCCAAGAAAATTTATTACAACGATAAAATATTCGACATAAATCTCAAGAAAATGAAATCGTTAATAATACACCTAATTAAAATATTATTTTTTTTAAATAGATATTTTTAAGTATGTAATTTTTATTTTTTGGCCAAGGCAGGAAGGAATTTCGTTCAATGTGGGTTCGCTTTGGGAGGGCCGAAAATATATAGCAGCCTCGATTATTCTCAAAGCCTGTTTAAACTTTAATGTAACCTAATTCGGTCTCCTATTGTTTTAGGGAACAATGAAATTCCACAAAAAGGGTAAAAGTTTTGGAAATGTCAATAAAAAAAAAAGTTGCACAATCCTGTGGTTCCAAGGAACCCGTCTCGAAAGTGATTGGTTAGTAGCACTTGATTAAGCTTAAAAATATATAAATTAAGGAGTATATACCGTAAGATGGGCTAATTTTGGGACAGCGGGTAAAATTTAGTTTGCGGTGATTCCGTGTTGATGGATACACTGTGTTGGATCAGTCTGCTAAAACGTGTTTGGTGTAGCCATGTAGGCGCTACTACCTTGCGGTAGTTTGAGAACGCTAGGTCACTACACTCGTGGTGCAGTTAGGTTTTATTTATTTCCATTGCTTTTTTCAAAATTATTGTTTTCATGAAACTTTCGCTTGTGCCTAAATAATTATGTGGCGCAAGGTAGTAGCGCAGTACATGCCTACACAAAACAAGTTTTTTGCAGATTGAACCAACACAGTGGTATCCTAAATAGAATCACCACAAACTAAATTTTACCGGCTGTTCTAAAGTTACCCACGCAGTCCCAAAGTTATCCCATCTTACGGTATATATATATATATATATATATATATATATATATATATATATATATATATATATATATATATATATATGATATGTAGTGTATTGATAAATAGTTTTCTAAAAAGAAATTCAGATTTATAAAATATTATAAAAAACATATGTTATAATTAGTACTGTACCTAAACAAAAGTTCGTCAATAAAAATTAGTATTGTTCAAGTAGTCACAGAGTTCACTTTGTTACTATTTTTAATTCTTAAATTACCAAGTAACTTAACTGTTGCCGAGAAACGCGTTTTTTACTTTAATTTGCACTGTTTTTAAAATGAGGAGAGGAATAAAATTCTTAGGAGGGAAAAGGGGCCCATATATAGAACAATACAATTTGGCAGTATTTTTGTTAACATAAAAAGGTAACTTTTGAATGTTGTTAGAAAGTTGTCCGCCAAAAAAAGTGTTTTTCATTCCACTCATTTTATTACCAGGTAGGTATAGTATTTAAAATATTTTAAAATACAGTAAAATTAGTTCTTACGATATTAATGTCTATTTATGAATGAATAATTTATTAATTTATATATATATATATATATATATATATATATATATATATATATATATATATAAAGAGGTGCCCATCCCCCCCAAGGCCGATGCCGCATAAACCTCCCCCCACACCTCCCAAGTTATTTCATTCCCCTCTTCTTCTTAAAAACAGTGTAAACGAAAGTAGAATTTAAATATTCACAGATGATATACAATTACACATACTGCGGTCTGTTCCATGCTACCACTTATCTTTTAGTTTGAAACGTTTCAATTTGAAAAATCATAACCCCGTCGAAATGTGCCCCACTCAAAAATTGAAAACCCCGTTAAAAAGTGCCCCCCTCATATAAATTTTGATGGCGCAATTTGAGCCATCAAATCCCTCTCTGGGCATCCCTGCATATATATATATATATATATATATATATATATATATATATATATATATATATATATATATATATATATATATATATATATATTCTTCCAAAGAAAGGAAGTCAATATTCTAAAACAAGAAGGGACGAAATTAACAAAACAAACACAAGAAAGATTTTAACATAGTTATGTAAAGATAAAATAGAAAATGAAATCGATTATTGAGATAATGTAATTAGGCTGTGATGATTGCTTTATTTGTTAAAGGTTTCTTCCAATGAAAATGGCCTAAGCGCAGAAACATTTTCGTAGAGAAAATAAATAAAGTATTCGTGTTTTTATTATTACAAATTTATTATTTTTTGAGAATTTGTTCTGTCATCAAGTATGACATTTAGTGTTGCCCAAAATCGGTCTTGGTCTTGCACTTTGCGAGACCTAGACCAGAAACGCCTAACTGTTGCAAGACCAAGACCAGGGCTGGTAAAAAAAAATCATTTTTTTTTAATTAATGGAAAATAGTTACTAACATTTGACAATCTTGGTTACTATATGATAGTAAATGGTATAACCAATATACTTTTGCATTTAACTCCTCTTTTTTTTTTTATTTAGGTTTAGTTAGATTTCTACTTTCTAAAAAAAAAATACAGTAATTTCTCTATAGCAATAAGCTAATAAGTAACTGCAAGACTCTTGCGAGACTCTTGCGCAAGACCAAGACCATGACCAAGATTGAGTTTGCAAGACCAAGACTCGTCTCGGTCTCGCATTTGGGCAACACTAATGACATTTGACTTTGATGTTTCATTAACTGGTTGAGAAATAACCACTTTGTAGTTTTTTTTTTTTTTCAATCGTGTAGAAATAAATGTTAAAATTTTCCAAACCACTGACTACTTCCGAAGAAAGAAAGTCAATATCCTAAAATAAGAAGGGACGAAATTAACAAAACAAACACAAGAAAGATCCTGAGACCAATTTATTTTTATTTTTTTCTTCTTCTCCTCTCACCACTTCCTCAATCAATGTTAGTCTAATTTTAAAAATAAATTCTCACGTTTGTGGCTAGACTAAATAGGTTCCAGGATTAGATATTATAAAGGAGGAGCGCTACGTAAGAATTGTCCCCATTCTAATTGAATGAGGCAGTAAGCTGTGGGTGCCTTTATTCGAGCCGACACCTCCATTTCTCCCCACAACTCTTCCTTTTTTCCCCCCCACACAAAACTTCCTTTTTTTTCACTCCGCTTTACCCGCCTTCTATTTCAATACATTTATTTTTAAAACATTTATTTTATTTCATTTTTTCTTCTTTTAAATGTCCTTCCATCTTAGAATTTCGCGTGGTCGTAACTTTTCTTGAATCGATTCATCAAAAAATCAGCAGCGGGTAATGAACAGATAAAGACTTTTTATGAAGTTATATATATATATATATATATAAGTTAAGCGTCGTCGGACTTAGAAATCAAAAAAAAAAGAAGGAAAAGGGAAAAGATGTAACATACACGACTTCTGAAATAACACTGCTTTATTCGTTCCATAAGCCTCCTTATATACACTTAGCCTGTTTATTTACATTACCAGATAGTATTAAGGCTGATACCGCCAGTCTCCGGTCTTTATCTCCCCCCCACCAGTTTACGAACAGGATTTTCGGAAACTTAAATATTGCTAGATCGGAGCCCACGGTGACCAGCCTTAACACTTTACAATTGGTTTTACAGTATATCCTTAAAAGAAAATAAAATAGTTCCACTCAACTGGAAAAATATTAAATACAGAAGAAATAATTAAAAACACTGAAACTAAACACAGCACTTTAGAACTCCTACCACTTGAGAACTCCTAACAACAACAAAAAAAAACACAATTTCCTCTATACATGAAATAATACAACAAAAAAAACAAAAAAAAAATCTTTTACAACTTGTTTTGTTTTGACAGCCACAAAAAAAACATATTCCTCTGTTTTATCTACAGCGGTGAGGGTACTACGAATCCATAGGTCTATGTCCCGACTCTATCATTGGGAGCTTTAATTGTTCGATATGAACGGTTCTCCTCTTTCTGGGCTCATTCACGCTCTCAATAGTTACCAGGTTATGCTCCCTAATAACAACCACTCTGAATGGACCCTCGTACCGTAGCAATTGTTTCCCTCTGTTGGTTCCCAATTTCCGGTAAACTATTGTTCCTATTTTTAGTTCCCCCATTTGGTCGCGAACTTGTACATTCTGCCTTTCCACCCGCTTCTGCTTTTCCCGCTTAATTCTCGCCGTTATCTTTCCCCATGTTTTCTCTACCTCTACCCTATTGCTGAGAATTTGATCCACTAACGGTTCGGTAAGCGTAGTTTCCCCAT